TTTCAAATATGAGGTTCTGTTGGTTAAAACTTGCACTTTCCTTTGGCATTGAAGTTTGCAGAAACAGTTTTTTATGCTAGCATCAACCCTGAATGCCCTAATGCCCTTTCCCATCATTCTTCAGAGCATGTGTTGTATGACTTAATAATCATCAAAAACTGCATAACTGGTTTTATTTGAATGATGATGGTGTGCATTTTAGTTTAATACAACCTTGAGCTACCTTTTTGGGCAAAGGACGGTATAGAAATGAAAGAAGTATCTCTCTAAAAATACTGTAGTTGCCAACAGAAAAGAAAAACACTTTATACAACCCTGAAAATTTGTGGATTTTAAAAATCTCATTGAAGAAGTTACACATTTCACTTACTGCTGTTGCTCAATAAAAATAAATTCTTGTAGAAAAGACTTGCCCATAAATGAGACAGTTGAACAGAAAGACTTGTGTGCCTATGAATTATAGTTCCGGACTGCTTATACTCTGCCTTAAAGCTGTGTATTCTTTCTCTGTACTTGTGCAATGCAATTATATTAGAAGGCCCTCTTAAAACTGGGTGATCTATTGGTTTAGGGAGCTAAAGATTGATTCCAGATGTAGTCATGCTCTTCTAGTCCTTCAAAAAGTAACTACTGCACCATCTGTTTTGTAATAGACGATTTCAAAGAGTGCCAAGGGAAATGTTAAATACATTGGTCAAACGGCCACATAAGCCTCACACACATGAATCCTAGAGGTCACAGTGTCTCAGACAGATTCATATTCTCAAGTTTTTCTCTCAATTGTTCCACTATGGAAACTCAAGGAACAGCTCTCCTTCCTTCCAAAATAGGAAGGTGTTTTCCAGATTATTACCAGTGTTGATATGTATGATGCCAAATTCAGACCTGAATTCAGTGGAATTACTGGAATTCACAGTGACATGTCTCCTATACCTGCCTGACTACTGGATCCTTGTAGATTATTCCAAATGGCTTTTGGGGTTGTTTGGGTTTGTTTTTTTTTTTTTTTTTTTTTTTTTTTTTCCTTTGAGGGATTGGGGTGTTTGTTTTTCCCTTCTTTTCCTTTTTTTTTTTTTTTTCCTCAAATGAACCCAGTAGCAAAAAAACTAAAGCTAAAATTACTTCAGATTTGGCTGGTTGCCCGAGGGGAATAAGAAGGGTGTGTGAGGTAATGAAAGGTTATTCCATGTCATGAATGATAATTTTTCCCTAGTTATTTCAGGAAGCTTGAAGTAAAGGAATTTTCTTTGTTCTCTAAATAAAGTCTTATGCATCAATATCTCAAAAAAAAAAAAAAAAAGAGTACTCAAGTCTGACATCAACATGGCCTAAATTCTTCACAACAACAAAACTGGAGTAAAAAACATTCTCTGAAGATTTCCCAAGTATAAATCTGAACTTCAGAGCAGCAACTAATGATTTATACCAAACAGTCCTGAGAAAATGTTTAAAATGAAAACAAAAGGAAACAGAAAATCTGCTAGAAATTAGACAATCACAATCTTCTGCAGTCCTAGAGAGACTTTTTTTTCTGCAGCGACATTAGGTAAATCATTGGTAAAAAGAATTAAAGATTAACAACATGTCTCCAGTTCAATCCTCTTTGGTTTTCCCAGTGTATCCAGTCCTGTTTTATACCAATTCTTGTAATAAGTTGTTACAAAATTAGCTTAGGACTAGCAGACAGACTAGTGTACCTATTTAAGTATTGCTGACTTTGCTGTGGCTCTCTCTCTGGGCATACTCCAACTACATCTAAATGTTCAGTTTCCTTATGGTAAGTAAGAAAAAAATTAGTAGGTAAAACATCCTTATCTAGAAGATTCCTTAGAACTGAACTTCTTCAAGCTGTTATTTGAGAAGTGTAAGGATATCCCACATACACAGGAAAATTTGCACTTTTTCAGTATTAAACATTATTAAAACAAAGAAAAGTCGTGAAGTGGAATAGGAAACACCTGTTTTGGAGGACTTCATAACATAACTTTTTTGACATTGAAGACATCTGAAAGAAATAAATTCTGAAAATGTACGTACACTACATTATGGCTAATGTACATATTGGCATAGGAGAATACATAGATCCCTTTCTGCTACAGCAAAGGCCCCATTACTTAGGACAAGATTTAATTGAAAATAATAGACTCAATAAGTGAGAGAACTAGATATTATAAATTGCAGATACCTGTATTTCAAGCCCCAAAGAAGGAAATGGTGCCTGAAATAAGGATACAGAACAGGAAATATTTTAAGGGAACATCATATAGAGCTAGTCTATATAACAATGGATAGTTTTGAATCCTGGTCTCTACAGAGCTAACATATCTCCTCCAGAGCTATAAAATTATCTCTTATTTAATCTTAGAAGGTATCTATACTCTCCCCTCAAAAACACCAAACCAAGCCAAAGAACCAAATAATTAAAATCAATCTGGATACAACTTATTCTTGCAAACCAAGCAGTGTAGTTGTCCCACCTCTTGCTGAGGCTGATGTTCCTGGAAGATAAGCCTTCCAGAATAAAGAAGTATTTAGGGAGAATTTTTTTTTAGCCACTAATACTACACCTCATCTTAATTCCTAATTAATTAGAGTAAGAACTCTTAGCTGTTCAAGAACATAAATAATGGATCATAAGAGTCACAAATCATACTCTATTCCTCTGCTTTCTAGGCACATAATGTGCCTTTAACTAAATCATACAATGCAGAGCTGAAGACTGGTTCATCCTTTGAAAAATACGCAAGAATTGGTTCAGGTGAGTTATTTCTTGGAATCAAAGAAAGAAAATCCAGAAATTCACTGTCAGTAACCCATCTCTCCTTATTCCATAGTTGTCTTAACTCTAAATGTACAGATAAATCCTTCATAGCTCACTGTTTTCTGAGCTGAGAGGCTAATTTTCTCCAGCTGAGGCCATTACTCCTCCATTTCACTCTAAGAACACCTTTTATGGTACACCTTTTGCATGGGAAAAATATGCTAGCCACTTGCTAGCTACTGACTGGGTCATACACACCATGTCAAAGTGATCTATTCCAGCTAAGATGTATAGATCCAAAATTACTCAGCCCAGAGAAAAAAGAAAGCAATTATTTTATTCAGCTGACACATGCTGTTTTTAGGAGAGTTCAATTTGTAACACTAGTTAATCATTTACAAAAGAACACAGTTTTTTAAAAAGTAACTTATTTGTTCCTCGCAGCAGAGGATTAAGACACAATGTACTGAATAACTGGTGCAATACAATTGCTCTGCAGAAATGATTGTATTTCTATCACACACTTTTTGGAAAACATAATCACTTTAACTTCCATTGTGTTTGTAACTCAGAGGCAAAAATTATTATGCAGAAAAGTCTGCTTCCTCTCTCAGCCATCTTTTTAGTTCTTTGAGGTTCCTAGGTTTTTTGCTGGTGGTAGTTTTTTGGTTTTTGGGGTTATTTTGTTGGTGGTGGTTTGTTTTTTTGTTTTTTGTTGTTTTTTTTTTTTTTTTTTGGGGGGGGGGTTTTTTTTTTTTTTTTTTTTTTTTTTTGTTTTTTTTTTTTTTGTTTTTGGTTTTTTTGTTTTGTGAGGGAGCTGGGGGTGTTTATCCTGGCAGTGTTGCATCCAGCAAGGATTGATGTTCTTGTCCTGAGAGGAGCAACAAAGCTGGTGATGGGTGTGGAGCACAAATCCTGTGAGGAGCAGCTGAGGGAGCTGGGGGTGTTTATCCTGGAGAAAAGGAGGCTCAGGGGTGACCTTATCACTCTCTACCACTGCCTGAGGCTGTTGGCCAGGTGGGGGTCAGTCTCTTCTCCCAAATAACAAGCAACAGAACAAGAGCAGACAGCCTCAAGTTGCACCAGGGTAGGTTTAGTTTGTATAAGAGGAACAATCCACTGATCAGGCTTGGAACAGGCTACTTGGGAAAGTGGTAGAATCACTGACCCTGGAAGGGTTCAAAAAACCTGTGGATATCCAGGGATATGGTCTAGTGGTGAACACAGAGGTGCTGGGGTAACAACTGGACTCAATGATCTTAGAGGTACCTTTTCCAACCTTAACAATTCAATGACCACCAGCCCAAATCACAATTACTGACCGTAAATTCTGTGGCATTGACGGTAGGAGAAATGGGTGTGCACGCCTTTACAAATGAGTAGATATCCTGAAAGAACCAATCACGTTCTGGAAGAATGGGTGTGGGGGTACATATTGGAGGGGAGATATGTAGTATGCAGATCTCTGAAAGTTTCTATCTTCCTAGTACCTCACCCAGTGGGGAAAGTAGGAGGGTGCTTAGAATAAATGGAGTCTGTGTCTGCTAAAAACTGGAGAGATTCTAGATGAGTATGCCCCAGTGGTATCTCCTTAGTTTTCCGTAAAGTTGATTTTTGCAGGACTCCTCTGTCTCTCCGTGGATCCTGGGCTTTGGCAGCATGACTTTCTGCACACTGTTAATGGCTGTGGACTTGCCCCTGGTTTGTCTGCCTGGAGGAGCTCCTCCGTTACTGTTCTGAGGTTACGAGTGTCACCAGACAAACATTACAGAAATAACCCTGGCCACCCACAAGGAGTCCTTTGGCGCACAGTTATGCCGTGGGGAACAACTGCTGTGGCTCTCTCGGCAGAACTTTCCACACTCTCCCCTCCCCGGTGAGAGCCAGCGCGCTCCCACCCCGCTGTCCTCAGTGACTGCAGGCAGAGGTGACAACAGGTCCTAACCCTGAAATCCCGTGTCAGCATTGAAACGGATCCGTGGCTTTTACACGCCAGCTATACCTGTACTGTGCATCTAGTACACGTTTAACACGTAAGGCTGGCGAAGAGTAATGTTCGCGAACATCTGCAATCCCGATGCGCGCAGGGCTGCGAATCCCCCTGAAAATCCGACTTGTAAAGTGCCGTCCCCAACACTGCACCCTGAGTTTTGGGGCAAAGCCGAGTCATCTCCCCCCTTCGCCACCACCCGTGCGGGAAAGGACCCGGCGGTGCCCGGCCCGACTGCGGGAGCGGGCCCGCGGCGCTCCCGGCCAGGCCGCAGGGGGCGGTCCGGGCCCGGCGCCTCGCTCCCGGGCGCAGGCGCCGCCGTGGGCCCGCGGTGGAGGGCAGCTCGCCCCGGGACGGCGGCTCCATGCGCTGCCAGGTAGGTGCCACCAGCCGGCGACCCCGGGGCTCGTCCGGCCGGAGGCTCGGCCGGTGTCGGGCAGGGCGGCGGGGCTCGCGCTGCCCCTGGCCCCGATGGGCAGCGGGAGCGGCCTAGGCGGCGGGCGCGGGGCGCGGATCCGCGGTCACTCACTGCCCCCCGCCCTCTCCGCCTGTCCCCCGCTGTCCTGACAGCTGGGGCAGGAAAAACGCGGCTGAGCCGATCGGCATCGAGACAAGCCTGGGAAAGCTTTTCTTGGCGCTGTGGTTCCGGCTGTGTGCTGGTATTTGGGAGCGGTTTTGTGGGCAGGCCCGCGGCCCTGAGCGCTGTTTGTTCCCCGGGCAGGTCTCGGTGCTGTATTTCGCCCGGAGCGCAGAGCTGGCGGGGCTGCGCTGCGAGACCCTCTCGGTGCCACGGGAGATCACCTCTCTGCAGCTCTGGGAGGAGATCGTCAAGGTCCACCCCAGGTATGCAGCAAGTTACCCTTGACGTGCACGAAAAAACGTCGATTTTAAAAATGTTTTTTGTAATACAAATTCGGTGTTTAGCATTGGGCTGGAGCACATAGCAGTACTTCAACAGCACAAAAACAGTGGTGTTACCTTCTTTTGGTAACCCGCACTAAATGCTTTGTGTTTTGCACAGCTGGAAGCGTTGTAGCTTTATGTATACACAAGGAAGGCCCAGGTGCAGGAGATGTACCCAAAACTGGGCCTGAGAATACATGTGGCCCATTGTCCAGGAGGACTGTGGTGTTGCAACCTGAAAACTACCATGTTATTAGTCTGTGGAGAAGGCGAGATGTTGGAAGGAGGGATCAAGCACAGCCAGGGCAATAAATAAGAAACAAATGATAATATGTGGGTGTTTCCAGTTGCTTGGGTTAGACATTAGGAAGAAGTTCTTCATTGAAAGGATGCAAAGACATTGTAATGGGCTGCCCAGGGAGGTGGTTTTTAAGGAAGAAAGGGTTTTGAAGGTTTTTAAGGAAAGGTTGGACTTTGTGCCATGGTCACAGAGTGCTTTTCAAACTTAATTGATTATGTGATTAACTGTACTGTAAGCCATTGGTCTGAGCCCATGCACACTCTGGAAGGCAGGTCTGGAAGGGAATTGAAGCCCTCCCAGGCTTCCAGCCACTCAGCCCTGACACAGCAAATATGGTCAGCCACTTCAATGCACTGAAAAAGACCCACACCACTGTTGCTTGCATTTCATAAGGAGTCTGGTCCTGAGAAAGTACTGTGTATGCTCTAGGGGTCTCAGCAGCATTGGTGCTCTTGGGGGTGTCAACAGAAATGTCCCCTCTGTTTAAAGCTGAGGGAAGGTGCTCAGTCCTTCAAGAATGAGTTTGATGGACAAAAGTGCAACACCATTTTTGAGGGATAGAAGGGAGTAAAAAAAAAGTAAGGTATAAAAGAGGTTGTGGTCCTCAGGATTTAGTGCTCAGTGCTCTGGAATTTCCATAAATTTGGACTTTGGTGTCCAACTCTTCCTTCAGGCACAACCTTTCTTTAATACAATGCTCTCAAACACTGTGAAAAACAATGAACTATTTAACATTGGTGTCTGTTTCCAAGTGAGAAACTGTTCACAAAACACTGGAACAGGGACCTTTTCCTCACAGAATATTGAAATAAAGTGTGTTTGGGTGCTAGAGGCAGTAGGGAACGCGTATATTTTACTTTGCAGCCTTTTCGTCTATGTCAGAAGCAACAGCAGCACCCTTGGTCGTTTTGCTGCAATTTGTCAATTTTGTCCTTTTATGAATGATGACTTGGGGCAGTAGAATTTTCTGGAAAAACTCAATATAATTGTAGGGCATTGACCACAGACTTCTATTCACATTGCTAATGGATATTCAAATTGCAGCTTGAGTGTACTTGACAGTGCTTTTCTGTTCCACACTTTTTCCCCAACTAATTAGCTTGCAAGGGACTTTAATTAGAGCCCATCCTTCTAATGGGCACTTCAGTTTCATGGCAGTGCACAGTTCTTTAGTGGCTTGCTTTGCTTTCATACAATCCCTCCCTTCAGTCTGTTCTCTGAATCAGTGCTACTGTGTTTCGTTCAGACTGTGCCTTGACTACTTTTGTCTATCTGGCTGGTAGGAACCAAGGTGATTTTTACTTTTACTCTTTTGGTCTGCTTACTTGATTCTAGGCAGTACAGCTGAACTGGCTGTGCTAGATTTTGTAGTCTCAAACAAGAACTGTTATCATGCCTGTGCCATGAGAAGTAAAATGCAATACTTTTCTGTCTTACTGCTATGGCCGTCATGCTTGCTATGTAATTGCACTTAATCATAGAAATTATTCCCTGCCTCGTGATATCCAGAGCTATGGACTCCCACAGCAATATCTCACATAAAAAAATTGTAGAAGATCTGCCAGAAGACACATCACATTTGCTCTCTTAGTTCTGTGGCCACTCCTTATCAATAGCAGATTTCAGACCTGTAAGTACAAAAGACCCAAAGCCTCACAGAGTCTGAGCACCACACACAGCAAGAACAACTCTCTGACTACAGAATCTTCATGAGATCTCATAAGCAGCATACCACAATGCTTCTTGGTGTATAAGAAAATTGCTCCAGTCCTGCCAGACTGCATCAGGACAGTATTTCCTTCTAATCCCAAATTGGATAGTTGCTGCCTCTTGAGTTACCAGCTTTTTTATTGTAAGCTTCTGAAGTGGGTCTGGTATTGATTGGTCTGTTCTGACATAGGCCTGTGACAAATCCAATTCCTGATTTCTGAAAATTATACTGATCTAATTTCTTCTTAGCCATTACAAGAAAATCCAAGACTGGGAGGTGGGTGTTTGTTACATTTTTGACAGTGTCTTGGAAGTGAAGTTGTGTAAATCTCAGTGGTTTTTACCGCAGCTGCCCTGTACTGTGTACCACCTTGCTGTTTAATGAAATCTCATGTTTAAATGTAAAGATTGTTTGGAAACCTATTTATGCTGTTGCCAATGCCCCTCAGGCTTGCTCTCCTCCGGGATCAAGTGGTATTTGCTGTTCGTCAGGAGTACGTGCTTCTTGGAGATCAGCTCCTGGTCCTGCAGCCTGGAGACGAGGTTGCCATCATCCCACCAATTAGTGGAGGCTGAACCTGCCCAGGTTCTGTTAAGTAGGTATCACTTACTGCCTAGTTTCCTGCGGAGTGTAATCCTGTGCTAAAATATCTCATGAATTCTGTGATTTTACAAGAACCTTTTCTTGTTTAGGTCTGAAGATGTGATTGCAGTTCTCCCTCCACCCCAGTACTCTTGAGAAAACCCAAATTGTGTTTCCGTCTGGTGAGTGCAGTTGTGCTGAGCAGAAACTATAAGCCAGTGCACCAGTAAATTATTAACATGTATGCAGTAAATGGAAGACACTTGCCAGAGAGGTCAGGCATTGCTTTGAATCTGGGTTTTAGGTCTTTCCTGGTTACTCTTTCCTTGTTGTTTCTTCCTACCAGTGGAAACTTGGCTTGCTTAAACAAGATAATAATGAAAAATTTCCTGCCACTTTTAACAGAAAAGATAATAAAGTAAAAATAATTGACTGCTTCTTAGAAATTTTGTTAGTTTGTTGCTGTTAAAAAGATGTCCTTAGAATACCTTCATTTCTTTGCCTGTTTTCAAGTGCCAGTCCATCTATTCACTGCGGCTTATTCCATTGCTCCTGATCCTATTGCTTCTTATTGTTAGGTGATCTGATGACTGGCTTCTACTCAGATAAGTTAAAAGTGTCTTCTGTGTGTCTGTAACAGACTGATAGTATGAGGTCCTGAAGGTCCTGGAGAGCATACTCAACTTTAGCATTAGAACTCTAATCCATGTTTATCAGAAATCTCTATTTTAAACTGTTTGATTTGATGAGATAAGTAGGAGGGACTGACAATATCACCATGGATTTACCAGCACTACACAGTGGTCTGTGCTGGTTGAATGTAGTGTTAAACCAGGGCCTTGGGCTGATTATAGTTTCATCCCACTGTACCAGACTTTCCTATCAGAAAGAAATATGAATGCAATAAAACCAAGTCATTGCTTGTTATTTACAGTTAACATTCTCTCAGTGAGGTTGCTGAGAAGTGAATTTCGCATGTAGACTAGTCTCTTGGGCAAATAGGTAGTGCCTGTCTTGTGCATAAATTGGGGCATGAGCACTGGATAAAAAACAGTTGGCTGATGCTAGTATCTCCAGGAACAACAATAGAGTCTGTTTGGTTTCAGTTTTTCTATTGTGATATGGAAGAAAGCGAAGATGTGCCAAAAGATTTTATCAAGCTCAAGTCCGAAAAACTCTCTGTAGATGAAGTGTCAGAGCTGGTTGTTTCACCATACTGTGGGGCAGTGTCTCTGTTCATTGGTGAGTTTAATATCTGTGAGCTAAGTCACTGGCTATGTTACTAGTCTAATAAATGTAACTTAAGTTGTCCACATCCCAGACTTGCAGTTTTCAAATAAATCAGTTCCTGGTCTGAGCCCATTATGTTTAGAAAACAGGTTTTGAATTATTAGAGCAAGACCCTGTCAGCTCTTAAATAGCTACGTGGCTAAAGTGATACGGGGCTTTCTGGCTGGTGTGGCTATCGTAGGACTGAACAGAACAGTACCTCTGGAGTAGAGAACTTCCTGGGAGTTGTTCCCCTGTCCCCTGGGATACAGCTTGTTCACGATGGGAAATGGAATATTGTGGCTGTGACAACCACATGTCCACACCTGTATGTGAGGTTTTGTAACTCAGGTCTTAGTTGAAAGTGAAGTACTGTTCTACCAGTGGGCTGGTGAAGGTCAGGCTGGTAGCTCTGTACTGTGCTTAATGTACAAGGCACACATATAGAACTACTGTGTGCTTAAATCTTAGTGCTACTAGGCTCCTAAATACTGGGAATTTAAAAATTACATGGGCAAATGCCATTATAACCTTACATAACCTTATCAGTTACCACAGAAGAAGTCCCAGCCTTGGGCATTGTGGGCTGCAGATCTGTCTAATGTGTAAACTGAATTCTCCCTTTTATAGTAAAGATTTATCTTGTTCAAATAATCTCATTATGCAGCCATGATTACGGGAGGTTGTTTATATTTGCACAGTGCTGACCTTACCATAGCAAGAGATCCTGGGTTTTTACTCTGTGTTAATATAGTATATAATGTGTATTATAAAGATGCAATATGTATTTACTCAGAGCTTTTAGTTGATAAATCATTTTTATTTAGGTACTACAAGAAATAATTTTGAAGGAAAGAAAGTGATTCACTTAGAATATGAAGCCTATACTTCAATGGCAGAGACTGAAATAAAGAAAATCTGCAGAGATGTTAGACAGAAATGGCCTTCAGTCAAACATATTGCAGTGCACCATAGACTTGGGTATGTATGTCCAGACCCATTCTTCTGCAACTGGAGTATCAGTCCTTGTCTGCTGCATGGCTGTGCTTACGTAGTTGCAGGATCTGCAGGAGTGTTTAGAAACCATAGTGCAGCAAAGCTGGCTGCAGGATCAAGCTCTTGCTCTGCAGCTAAGTTTCAAAAATTTTAGTTTCAGAAATGTGTTTATTGGTGGGTTTACTGGAATCCACACTTAGCCTGGCAGGATCTTTGATGCTGATGTGATGTCTTGGAAGTGGGGAGATACTTCAGGGAAGGGGAGGCTATTGGTTTATTATGTTCTTGATTTTTTTAAAGGTGTGAAGTTGGCAGCACTTTATTTTTTTTTTTCTTCTCTCACCTGTTGAGCGGCTGCAGAATCTTCTTATTATCAGATTTTAGTCTATTTATGCTACAAAAAGTCTGGAAGCTTAGGCTGTGGGGCATAGTAGTTTCCAGCCATGCTTCTGGCAGAACCTCCTGTTGTCTCTTGAGTCTTGGATGAGCATTTTCTTTTTGATTCAAAAGTGGAATACTAGTGTCTGACATACTCTTGGGACTTCCCAGTTCAGGGAAGATTTCTTGCTGAAACTAGCAGGATTTGCAGAAATCCTGAAGGAACTTGGAATGTGATTGGAAAGGGTAAGTAAGATAAAAGGCCTGAGGGGTAGTTTCCCTAGATTTCCTCTACAGTCAACAGAGAGGGCGGCTGTCATGAGGGCAGCTCAAAGCATTTAGGCTGAGATTTCTTCCTATGGACTGTAGGAGTCTTACTATAGAGGGAGGATTGGGAGATTTTAGGAATGCTACAACTGCAAGGAGAAACACAGAACCTTGTGCTTCTGTTAAGTTTAACACAGCACACCAAGTAGTAAACTTGAGATTCTAAAATCGGAATTCATCAAAAATTTGGTTTCATTGCAAAATCTGCATAGTGTGAGGCAATTAATTTATTCTTTCACAAATTCTTGTGCAAACTGAGAATTTTTCTTAGGTTTTTAGGTAAGAACTGGCTGTTCTAACTTGTTATTGTTCATTATTAAGCCAGCTTCCAGTGAGGTTCCTATGCATTGTTACAAGTTAACAATTTCTCCCTCTTAATTCCATAGGCTTAATTTTAAAAAAAAGAAAGAATGGAAGAAAAAAGCCTATGTCTGGTGGGTTTTTTTATTCTAAAGTGTGGAATTCTGACATCTGGTACTGATTTTGATTGTGGTTTTCTTTCTTTTAAAAAGTGTATAATCTTTTGGATGTGGTTTGACACTTGCTCAGTATGAATGAGTCAGGAGAGCATGTGGCCAGAATACTGACGTGACATGGCTACAACTTTTGGGTGCCCTTGATGTTGTTAGCTAAAGCTGCTGTTGTTCCTCTTCTCTCCCTAGTGTGGTTCCAATAACTGAAGCAAGTGTAATTATTGCAGTCTCCTCTCCGCACAGAGCAGAATCCCTTGAAGCTGTAATGTACTGCATCAATACCTTAAAAGCATGTGTCCCAATATGGAAAAAGGTACGTTTGGGGACAAAATCAAATTTAGGCCTGTGCTAGTCTTAGACATCTTGGCTACCTTAGCAGCGTTCCAGGCAGTAGTAGCTGCTCCTGGTGGGTTGTCAGTGTCTAGCACCAGTGAGTTTCCTCTATTGCAGCCAGGCCCATATGTGGCAGGTAGAGCATCTGGAAGGTTCTCCTGTACCTGTACCATCTAGCTCCTCTTTATTTTGAAGCCATCCTAGAGTGAAAGCGAAGGAGGCCTGAGCTGTCCTCTTTTGAGTAGTAAAACTCAGTTCTGCACAGGCTTGTGGAAGAATTTGAGTCAGTTTTGCTTAGGACAGCATTGCAGTTTGGAAGTAACAGGAGCATTTCTTGCCTGTCTGTTTGCCCCTCATCGCTGTGGTCATGAGAAAGCATAAAGCACTAAGCAACAGCGCACAATGAAGGGGTGAGCAGAAGTCCCAAAGCTAGTATAGGCACACAACTATGTGTGGAGAAACCAGCCCAAATCTAGAAAGAGCCTCAAGAGCCTCACTATATAACCTCAGTGTTGAATGCAAATAATGAGCATTATCTCTGCCTCCTCTCCCTGGCAGAACTTGGCATGTGGTTAACAGTGATATTGCCCACATTAATGTGAATTAGAAGTGAATTTCACATGTAGACTAGTCTTTTGGGCAAATAGATAGTGCCTGTGTTGTGCATAAATTGGGGCATGAGCACTAGATAAAAAGCAGTTGGCTGATACTAGTATCTCCAGGAACAACAGGTAGGTATCACTTTGCTGATACCTCCTTGAGGAGATGGAAGCTCTCTCAGAATAAATAATCAAGGACTCAGAATTTGCTGCTTAGGACTGGACTGAAGTTGGGTAATCCAGTCTGTCCTTAAGATCTATTAGTAGTGTATTTAGTATATCAATGTAATTTTTATTTTAATATTGACATTTTGTAACATCTAAATTCTTATCTGAAAATGATGGTAGGTAGGTTAATTACAGCAGGTTAATGTAGCAGCATGAATGCTGTGTACTCTACAGCCATTACATAATTTCTTCTAGATCTCTCTGTTGAATTGACTTCAGCTTAGGTAGGCCCTTCTAAATTCAGTGGGGATCAGCCTGGGGTTCAGCCAAGTTCATATTTTTTAAGGGTGCTGCCCTCTCTTCTGCTTGGCAGCCAAGTGCTGTGCAGTCCTGATGTAATCAGTAAATAATAGTGGGATGGCTATTGAGTTGTTTGGCCTGGTTTGTAGCTGTATGTAGCAGACTCACAACATTTCCCATTCTTTGTTTATATTACAGGAGATTTATGAGGATGAATATTCTTGGAAAGAAAACAAGGAATGCTTTTGGGCAAATTCAGAAAAATAATTGTACTCTTTTGAAAATAAAGTGTTACTCTTCCTAATGAGCATATTTACCTTTGACTTTTTACAGAGAATCTCTGTGTTTCTAAATGGTTCTAACAGATGTTTCAGTTTTAGTAATTTAGTTTGGACTGAATGAAATGAGTGAGGATTAATTAGGGGTTTTAGGTGTCTTGACTCTCCTTTGGAATTGCCTTTTTGTGCATTTTAACACGGAGTCAGTTTTTAAAATAATCTTCCCTAAAATTCTTTGTTGCAAGGTTTAGACTACTCTGTGATAAATATTGTTCTAATGCTTTTACCTTGGTAGTCTGTGTTCTCTGTCTGCATGGGAGGTCACCACACGACAATTGCATTCTTTTCAGTCATAAAGTTCAGAAAGGTTCAATTTTATATGAGTGCAGACTTAGTTTGCAAGCTGTATGCTATTTTGACATTCTTGTAACATGAAAGCTACTTAAAGTAGATTAACTATTTTAGTGCAGACAGAGAAGAAAATACAAACTATACCCCAGAGTTACTAACTTTTTAGTAGTGCTTTTGTTCCAGTAGCTCTGTCTCACAGAAAGATTTTTACTGTGCAGCTGATGATTCCGAGTCCATTGCATTAAAAAAACATGGATAGAGATTGATTCAAAGTTAAAGCTAGCACTCTACCAGCAGAAAGTATTGCCTTAGCAATAACATACCAATCTGTAAATACTTAATGATGTCTAGACAAAATTTTGAAGGTGACTTTTTGGTTGTGTAGTTGTGTGGTGCTGCAGGAAGAAAAACCCAATCCAGCTATTATTACAAATACACAACTATAGTGTAATTAAGTTCAGTAATTTGATTTCATATGTGTGGGAATTAAAAGTCATCAAATGGAATAGTTTTTCAAAGAAAAGAGAGTTTATTGAACTTACTGCAATTCATATATGCATTTATATTCACATTTAAGATTTAACCTTATTACAGTTTTTCTCTTGTTACTGTTTGAAAACTAATTAATATGCCTGGGTTTCACTGGAAATACTGGGTTACCTGTCCGAGTAAGGTAATTTTATTTTTTATTCTACTGTGTCATGGTAGTATTTAGATGCTAAGAGTTCAAAGTCCCATTGTGTATGGCATTTCTGCTAATGCTGGGAGGCAGTGTTATCTAGTCATCATTATCAGTGTAGAGAAGGTAGATACAAGTGAAGGAAAATAAGATACTGCAAAATTATTTGCTCAGTTGCTCATATATATGTACTTACATCATATATAGTTATTTATAATCCAGGTGCAAGGTCATACTCCTTAGTCAGGGCAATCCCAATCACAAGTACATGCTGGAGGGAGAATGGATCAAGACGAGCACTGGAGAGAAACACTTGAGGGTATTTGTGAACAAAAAGCTCAGTATGAGCTGGCAATGTGCACTTGCAGCCCAGAAATCTGGCTTTCTCCTGGGCCGCATCAAAAGCAGCAGGGCCAGCAGGTCAAAGGGTTTGATTCTGCTCCTCTGCTGTGCCCTCAAGAGACCCCGCTGGAGCACTGTATCTGCTTCTGGAGCCCCCAGTGCAAGAAGTTTTATTGGAATGAATCCAGAGGAGAACCACTAAGTTCATCAGAGGACTAGAATACCTCTCCTATGAAGACAGGCTGAGAGCTGGGGTTTTTCAGCTTTCAGAAGGCTCCAGGGAAACCTTACATCACCTTTTAGTATCTAAACGGGGCTTACAATAAGTTTGGAGAGGGAATTTTCACAACAACGTGTAGCGATAGGACAAGGGAGAATGGCTTTAAGCTGAAGTGAGGGTAGGTTTAGATCAGATAATAGGAAGAAATTCTTTGAAGGTGGTGAGGCACTGGCACAGGTTGCCCAGATAAGCTGTGGATGCTTCATCCCAGAAAATATTCAAGGTCAGGCTGGATGGGACTCTGAGCAACCTGGTCTAGTGGAAGGTGTCCCAGCCTATATAAGGGTGGTTGCAACTAGATGATCTGTAAGGTCCTTTCCAACCCAAACCAGTCCTTGATTCTGTAATCATTGCATCACACACTAGTGAAGCCTCAGCTGTATGTTCTATTTTATCGTGTGTGCAAAAATCTACTAACAACTTCTAGCTGCACAAAGTAAAATGAGGAAAAAAATCTTCCCCCCAGGGATTTTAATCACTTTTAATACTTAGTTACTATATCTGAATTAAGTAAATTGTAAGGAAACATACAGCTTCAGGCAGAAACATCATTAAACTGTGCTTATTGATGTATTTTCCTCAGTGGAAGTCAGTCCTTCATCTGCAGGACAACAGCTGCTCCTTGTGTGTTTACAGATAGACACACTACAAACCATTGGGCTCTGTTATCTAGGCAGAGTTGGTCAAGTACAAGACTGAGTTTTTCTTTTTCTTGGAGGTTGGAGAGAAGCCCTCTGCTGTTTGAATGTCATTTTTTCTGGGAATTGTACAGAATACTAAGCACAATCACTTGCTTTGTGAAAGGATTATTTTTCGCTTTAGAAGAGAGAAATACATTAACTTTTTCATATTTGGTGTTCCTTTTTCTGTGTTTATGTTTACTGTTTCCATGCAACTAATTAGTGTATTAATTTCACAAAAATAAATGTTTAGCTTGTTTTTTAGTGGATATTTTATGAGTGAAGTAAAACTTATGCAGTGGCTCCGTACTAGTGTTGTGCTCTGATACAGAAAATCAGTGGTATATCTTAGTTAACATTGTTAAATTCTACTTTGGGACCCCTTGATCAGGGCAATTCCTGAGTTGCAGTAGTGTCTCGTTAGTGCCTTTCTAGCACTGCAGTCTCCTGGAAGATTTTTCCAGGGTGACCTTAAGTGCACCTTCCCCATCAGCAATGCAGCTGGGAAATAGGGTGCAGAAAAGAAGAGAGAATAATTGTGTACTTCCCCACAGTGACCAGGAACAATGAATGGAAGAGATGTTGTACTGAGTCACAGTTGAGTGTTACAATGTGTGTATGCTGCCATGGTAAAGACAATGAAATGTCATTTTTTGTCCCTAGCTGTGCATGAGGCAAGTACTGCTTTGTTCTGGAACAATGATATATCAGTCTTGTGTAACTTTGGGTTCTTCAGCTGGCATGTAAAAGCAAAATGGAAATGTTTCTGGGAGGGATGGTGTGCTAATTAGAGGTAAAATATATCTCACTGAAATTTAAGTCCATGCTCTAAACTCAGTATTCTGTCTCCCTCTGTAGGGCTACCCTCTCTGCTAGGGCAGTATTGTCATAAGAGGGCAGATTACTATGTTCTAAGATAAATGCTTAAGCTGTGTGTGACGTGACCCAGAAGCATTTCCAAATTGCCAGGTCAGGGGAAGAATCCCAGCAGTGTCACACTGTGTGTTAGGAAAAGATGTGGTTGTGCTTCTCGCTGTCCGCACATGCGGAACTACAGTGCTGGATGACAGCTACTCTGTGTTATGGTGAGGTCCATTGAGTGGGATGATAGCTGCAGATCTGTCTACCTACAAGGAAAACCCAGCTTTCTGGAATGAGTCCAGATATTTCTCTTCCTGTAGTGAAGGCTAATCCCACCTCTCCATGAGGTCAGCCGTGTTGAGTTGGTGGCTCTGGTACATAGAGGGATGTTCCCAGACACAAATGCTACAGACCCAGAGGGTCATCATGTGATTCCTGCTGAGATCTGCCAGATGAAGGCTGTCTGTGGAAGTGCATGTCTTCAGAGTGATAATTTGTCCTTCTGAAAAGATGCTTTATTCTTGGCTGGCAAAATTTGAATACACTGATCCACCCCTTTGTCTGGTCAAACATCCATATACCAGCACTGACTGATTTTAAGAGTTTCCTTTCCTGACTTTGAGCATTGTGCTGTTCTCAAGAGAAGCTCAGCCTGATGCATACGATGAAAACAGCAACTGATGGACTGTCATGGGAGGGACAGGGGAGGAAGGGGGTTGTTTTATAAGGGGCCTACCCAGGAGATGGCAGCCGAGAGATGGCTGAGCAGGAGGAGCGGCTCCTGACCTGCTGAGGTGCTGGCTGTGCTGGGGAATACAGGCTCTCACTTCGGCTGTCGCTAGTGAAAGTGGCACTGCTGCACTTAGATTGCTCAGCTTTGAACTAGAGTTTTGGCCTTTCTCTCTGCTCGCTTTATGCACAGCTCTTCCAGGTAAGTTGTAGTTTTATAGAGTAGCACATTCAGTTGTTGCTTCAGAAGCATTAAAAAAGAACTGCTAAATCTCATTATTAACAAATTGTATGTTAAAGCAGACAGTGCTGCCCTTTCCCTTTTAAAATCCTATGAAAAATAGTCTTGAGCATTAAGTGCCATTAAGTACAATTAAGTGTCCTGTGGAGGTGATTGAAAGGAATGCAGAATACATTGGTGACTATGAATTACCAGTTTCTTTGAGAAACTTAGGCCAGTTTTTTGAAAAACAAACACACCATAAAGTCTGGTCATATCAACTTACCAAAAATTAGCATCCTGATGTATCTTTATAGCCGTTCCTTTTTATAAAAGTTCCATTTTGACTATTTTAAGAGGCAAGTACATTTTAAAAACTGCTAGCGTACTAAATCCTTTGATTGCATACAAATAATTGACTGATTAACTGAGAACAGAAATGTTCACTTAAAATGTAGGACTTGACTTTTCTAAAGATGTAAATGTACACTTCATTTACTTTCACAGGCAATAAAAAATTGAGGTAATTATCTATAGATTTTGAGATGCATTTTCATACCTTCATTTTTTTAGTCTTTAATTTGCAAGCTTTTGTTGTAGTTTGGTTTTGCGTGTGCTTTAACCCCAGTCAGCACCTCAGCCCCACCCAGCCATTCACTCACTCTGCCACTCGTGGAATGGGGGAGAGAATAGAAAAAGTGAGAAGTCTCCTGGGTTGAGAAGGAAGACAGTTTAATAGGGAAAGTAAAAACTGGTCATGCAAGCAAAGCAAAACAAGGAATGCATTCACCACTTCCCATTGGCAGGCAGGTTGAGTCAACCCCAGGAAAGCAGAGCTCCATTACATGTGACAGTGGCTTGGGAAGACAAGCACCAAACACTCCGAATGCCTGCGGTCAGCTGTGGGCAGTTGTTGCATCTCTGTCCCTTTCCCACTTTCCTATGCAACCCCAGCCTCCTTGCTGGAGAGATGGGGTGAAGAGCAGAAAAGGCCTTGAATCTGTGAGCATTGCTTAGTGACAGATAAAACATCCCTGAGTTATCAACAATTTCTAGCACAAATCCAAAACACATACCAGCTACTGTCAAGAAATGTACCTCTGCCCCAGTCAAAACCAGCACATACATAAGTCAGTATATAGGGAATCTGGCTTGCAATTCTGCAAAACACTTAGACTTGCTGAAAGACAGAACTTTGTGCCTTAAGATTAGGTTCATCTGATACTGTATGATGGAAGTGTTGAAATTGGTAGCCTACCTGAATGTTTATGTACCACTGTTAAAAGTGGGGAGGAATTGAAAGTGGAAATTGAAAGCTCTGTGAAAGTGTGTAGTTTTCAGGTGGTAGTTTCTGACAATACTGTCTTCCTCTCATCTTTCTATTCATAGCCAAGTTCCTCCCTCTCTTCTTTTAGAACATTGTTCCTGCTGGAAAGTTGAATTCAGCTTTTCCAACATATGGTGGGGTGTAGCCAGAGCCAGAGTCATGACATGTTACTGCTGACCAATTCTGTAAATAGGTAAAGTGCAGAGACTGGCAGAATGGGTTGTAATTTTAGATAGCACTGATGATAAGCCCATGCTTATAGGAAGGCCTGGCCATGGTAATGTTTCAACAACATCTACTCAGCTAGAGCTTTCCAAATACTTTGCACTTACGTCAGCTGGGTTACAGTACACCTTACTGGTTATGTTACACTCTGGACTGTGATCTGCAAGACTTCAGGTGCAGTGTCATTGTCTACCTAGGAGAATTATCCCCTTAGATTCTCACTGTGTGCTACTGGGACAAAGCCGTATTTGGCCCCATTTTATGCAGTGCTTTTTCAGTAGCATTGCTTCTCTTTAGGGTGCTGTCTAAAAATAAATGAGTCTGCATTCAGCAGTAGTCTTGGGTTTTATTGCAGTAATGCTGTTAGCCCTCAGACAGGCCACCACAGTGATACAATCCCTGCTGCCATAGAGCTTACATGCTAGCTTTTAGAAGTCAGCTTTATTATAAACTCTCTTGTATATTCCAAATTTATACATAGGCTCATATGAAACCAACTCAGATTTTGGACTTGATTCTAGTACTTCAGGAAATCAGCAGCTAGATTTCAAGACCAGAATCAGATATAACTTGAGTTTGCTGACAATATTGTCGATTTTTCTTGCTGCAAGCGCAAACAAAAGTACATGCTGAAGCTCAAAATTTCAGGGTACTTAAAACAAGCTGCTTTAAAAAAGTAAATTTAAAAGAAAAAAACAAACCAAACCCTTGCACACAATACAAAATATACATAATATTTCCAGTATTATTTGCAGCTGTGCCAACTTAAAAGTGCAATAGACTTACCCATTACAAAAACTGAATTATCCATTTAAGTATTAATTGTAAAAGAAAAATAAACTAGTAACTTGGAGTGGTTAGGATACAAAAACCTTACCCATTGCTATGTCTCCCCTTTATTTTGGAAAAGCAGTATTGTGTCCAGGCTGGGAAGGAGAATTATATTGTTCATGTCAAAATATAACCCAGTGAAGGCTAGTGAATTGAATCATTGCTACCTGATTGATAAACTGTTAAATCCCCAGAGAAGTTGCATATTGGATATTGACCTGTACCTCCCACTGAAGGCGGAAGAAGCAAATCTGGGTCAAGGCCTGAATTGCCCGGTAGGCAGCACCAGAAACTGAAAATTCTACCATCTGGTGTATTGTGAAATTCCCCCTCTGCTCTGGAGTGCATGACCCTGATTATGTAGGAGCTTCCCACATACATGGCTGTAGGGTTTTTTTTTTTTCTGCACAAGTTTATATAAGAATTGAGGCAGACAAATTTTTTATTTTCTACTCTCAGAACATTTGCCCTCAAAGTTTATAATTACAAGTCAGGAGCTTATTCTTTAGATTTATGCAATTGCTATTTTTTCCCCCACTTTTTAAATATTTGTTTTGGTCACAGACTCAGCTGATAGCAAGAATCTTGTTTGATAATTGATATAAGAATCTGAATTGTTTTTCAGAATGTTAGAAAAACCACAACAAAATATCCCAAAACATAACATTTCATAGATACAAAATAAATTCAAAACACATATAAAACTACACTGAGCATAATCCAGCTGTTGCTGCAAATGAAGCTGTTATTTGCCAAAGACATGGTTGGCTTTTGACTGATTAGCTATCAAAAAAGACTGAGTAAAACTTTCAAATGTGCTTAAGCCTAGTCCCTCAGAAAATAATGTAAAAGTGCCTAAGCATAATTACAATCCAGCTTTGGGGGGGAAGAAACCATGACTTTGTGTTCTCAGTCAGGCACATTTGCATGTTTTACTCTTCAAGTAAATCACCTGAAGTTGGAAACAATCTCACTTGCATGGCAGCATAGATACGAAAAACACAAACATCTTCTCTCACAATCAATTGTACGTGTAACTGCCAGGCATGAGAGAGAAAGGCAGCCAAGAGGCCAAATCTCCTGACTATTACCAGTCTTACAGACTGAGCTTTCACTATAACCAGGCAGCGTAACAGCATGTGATAAATTTGAGGTGTGTAACCAACATAAAGTCACCCAAGTGTTGTGCTTAGAGCTCATTCCAGAGCACTACAGTACTTCACCATATAAAACATAAGTTAACTTCATCAAGACATGAACAGGTAGGACCAAAAAAAATGTGACAGGTAAGGAGGTTGTACTGAACTTTGGTCTCCTGGAGGGCACTGAGATGCTAAAGAAGTGCAGTAAACATTTTATAGAGCTTAGATCTTCACTATCCCCTTTTGTAATGTGCATCATTCCTCAGTCAGCTATCCCCTTTAGTTCACTCTATGCTCTTACTCTTGCAAAATCTTTCAGTACAGAATTAAAGGCAAGATCTTGACTGTCTTTCCTATTTATGTCAAAAGCCAAACTGATATCAGAGGGACCGAGAGTATAAAGGCCAGCATAACAGTAGTGGTAGTGCTTCTCAAGATGAAAATGAGTAATAACATTGCAGAGAACATGCTGTAAGTGATTATGAAATTAATATTTTCTTCTCAGGGAGAAAGTATGCAGAAGACAGTTTTACACACCATTTGGCAATACTTCCCCAAAACAATATCCTTCAGTAATTTAGTTGTGACCTTAGTGCAAGAATTATGTGAACTTTTGGAAGACTTTGCCCAACTAGTTGTCCTGTAGCACCCAGACAGACATCTTCATACACAGTTCCCAGTTTATAGATTAGTTAAAGCAAAGGTTTGCTGGTGGAAATTATTTTTCTAAAACAATAAGGATGGAGCTAGTCATTGAAAAAATGACTTTTCTTCTTCCAGTGTGGAAGCAGTATTCACCACACATTCATCATCAACTTAATAGAAAATGTCCTTTAACACATGTGGTACTTGTCAACTGAATTACCAACTGATGCTGTTCCACAATAATCTGAAATAAATTCTTCTGTTTCACTCTGCAGTGGATCAAGAGAAGGGCTGCTGGAACAGTATGTTACTGTATACTTCGGACCTGCCAGTTCTAAGGGTTAAGTTTGTTTGAAAGGCAAAAATTTACAAGAAAAGGCATTATAAATCATTTTTGAAAAAACCAAACTGTCCTGCAGTTACTCTTACAATAGAGTAGAATCTGTAAAATATTTCATCTATAAAGACACTTTTAAAAATGTTTAAATGTTACTAAGCTTTAAGGCACTCCAGCTGAAGAACTGACTGATCACAACTACTATTGGTGGCTCAGATCTCTTTATCCATGTAACTCGTCTTCAGTCTTTGTCCTTTGTGAGTTCTGCGATTTCATCCACATCTTCTATATCCTGTGTCATTTTCTCATACTGTCTCTTGAAGAAGCCAAGCTGTGAGAAGTATTAAAATAACACCACAATGCAGTCAGTCATTGATAACTCATTACTCAGCAAAACAAAATACTGTGATGGTAAAAATGCACATGTGTGCATGCATCCACTATAGAGTTTGATTTGTAAACAATTCCTGCCTCTAAAATGAAAGGAGGTGGGCCCTAAACTCCTACCTGGTGCAACTAAATGCTAGAGTAGCAATGCTGTTAAGCCACTTTTCTCTATGCTGAGATACAGACATTTCCATGACGCCTTGGTGTGCCAAGGAGCACTTCAAACACCAATGCCCTGGCACGCAGAAAAACTTTCCCCTTTTTCTATGTAACCTTTGTATTTTACTTTTTGCCCCTGCCCCTTCTTTTGTCTGTTCTTTTGTCCAATATATATCCTCTCTCACCTTGTTTGTAATCCCCACCCTTGTCCACTGGGAATATCATGGGTGTTCAGAGCCCAGATAGGGTATTATGGAAGGAGGCAGACAGTGTTGAAAGGAGAAAAGTAAATGTCACAGCCCCTGTTTTGAATGATTGGCAGCTCATTTAACATCTTCATCTTGCCAGTTTCTATAAGGACTCATTTCATAAACCCTTCTAAAATATGTCAAGGTTGTCAATGCAGTATTATATTCATACCACCAAACTGCAGATGTGGTTTTGTTTCACACTAGAAAAGAGAGATTCCAAACAAAAGAGCCCAAATATATTCATCCCTTTCCGTTTTTAAGATATAAGTAACAACTTACTTTCCACAAAACAGCAACCAGTACCAACAGCAAGAGGAGTCCAGCCAATATGCTGCCAATCACAACACCTACTGGTACCTCAGCTTTCTCATCTGGCTTCATTATTGTAACTGGGATCTGAAAGCAGAGAGATTGTGTCTTAGGCGCTAATGTTAACTGCAAATAAGGTAGGATTTGTAAACGAAAGATCAAGAATGCCTGGACTGCACATATTCCAGGATCAATGACCAGAATACACAAGCAATTACAGCCCTTTCCCTGGTGTCCATGGGTGCCTGGTTGCACTGTGGCACACGGCAATGGCAGCTAAGGACTAGAGGCCCCCATCACTCTCGGCCAAGCGTAACAGGCAGAGGACCAATCTCTCCTGCCAGCTGCCTCTCCATTAACAGCAGGCCTTTCAGAGGCTCCACACACCATCACTGTGTAAACCAGCCATGTTTACATGAAGGTGGGGGATAGCCTGGTGTACAGCCCCAAAATCAGACTGCTGAGAAGCACTACTTTTCACCAAGCGTTGTCAGTGCCCGTTATCTGTGCTCGGCAGCTGTAGGAGGCAGTACTAATCACTGAGGCCAGACACCATGACATCTGCTGAAATTCCAATCCTCCTGCTGGGCCTCAGTCTCCTTTGTCTGCTGTTCTTACCTTCTATGAAACCACTAATGAACAGATCTCATGGTGATCTGTGTTCTCCTGGGTCAACTGCATGAATCTGCTGCAAGATGTATAGGTCAAACAGGAGCACACCCCTAGCACACCCACATTTCCTGAACCACACCTACATTTCCTGAACCAATACCAGAGAGCTCCCAGAAGGGCATAGAGTGTCTGGAAGTTAGTTTTCAGGTCATACCCTATCTAGCTGGATTAGGTATAACCAAATATATAATTACATATAACAGAGTTTCTCAGAGTTCTTGTAATATTTATGAACTGTCAAATTTTTGGATTTAATCTTGGAAAAACATGCAGTTACCTGAAAGTTTTTTTCTTCCTGAAACATGATAAAACAAGTCACACTGGTTTATTTTCTCAGGGTGGTTGTTCACTGCATTTGTCTGGAGTAATTTAATCTTAAGCTTTCTGGGAAACTTGCACTGGACTGACATTTCAGTGATTTAAGTCATTTCTGTTGGAAGGCTCCAGTGTTGTGCTAGGTGTGGTTATGTGTATTCATTTCACCAAGGCAGGCCAGCTTTGTGTATTTTCTAACTGAATGGCCATAGTGATGATTCTAGCAGGTTAACATTCTGGCCTCCAGCTGGCAGTCCTTTCCAACTTGGAAAAAAATGTGAAAGCTTTTACGTAAAAATACCTAAACAGCTTCCTCACATAGCATCACAAGGCAATATTCATTTATTTGGCTATATAACAACCCAGTTCATCCAATGTAAAAAGTCAATTTCATATATGTAGTTTGCCCAGTAATGCTTTCTGCATTAGATTAACAGTGAAGTGGCACCATTGGAAAGCAAGATTGATGCCTAAGAACAAATTATCTTTCCTGAAGTTAAACTGGACAACAAGACACCATGAGAGTGGGATTCAGCTCATCTGGTGTTTATCTACAACATGGTTTCCTGACTCCCAAAGGAGGATAGGCTTTTTTAAGAGCCTAATTCACCCTAGTTATTTTCAGGATCAAATTTAGGATGAGATGAACTGCATTTCAGAAATATTTGTTCTTTCCAGGGACTAGGGTATATAGAATACAGATGACCAATGCAGATATTAACTTGGATGAATCCTACCACATTCCTGTAAATTAACAGGGTAAGTAGGGAAATGAGCTCTGTTTGCTTCTGTACTGTCCTGTTCCCAAGGAAGTGTGAAGGGCAGACTGGGTTTCCCTGTTGGCCTGACAAGAAGTAAGTGCTGGGTACTGACTCCAGGTGTCAAACTGTCTGCTCTAGGGAGAATGTACCTCCACAGCCTGGCACATTTACCAAGACTTCTCACAGGGCAATAGGTCATTGAGTAAAGGTCAGGCTGGAAGTCACCAAAAGCCACTTTGTTTCTGAGGAACCGTGTGGATAACTTTCAGGGTCTGTTCAGCTACTGCCTCAAAGGTGTAGAAGTCCCAGCTGCACATGTGTCAGTGGCTGGGAGAGGAATTGACTTTCATTTGTCAAGTTCTCCTGAAATTGCCAACAGAACTTCTGGTAATGTACTTGGCAGTACCATGCTTCAAATGTGGAAAAATACTTATTAATACATGGTTTAAGAGTTACCTAAAAAGCCTCTGCAATTACCTAGAATATTTGCATTGTATAGTAGTGAGCTTCATCTCCTAATAGAAATAATACCATGTCAAACTGAAGCACTCAGAACACTCCAAATACTGGCATCTAACTTTTCTGCGAAAACATACTTCCTTTGTTCTTCAGGCACTGGAGGTTTTACTGATTACAAAATAGCTTATTTATAGGTTCTTCACAAGAAATAGAGTGATCTATGAGAAACCAGTGATTAAAAATGGTGTTGGATGATGATTATATCACACAGTGAGAGAGACCAATCTATCACTGCTTTTGTATACATTTACTTGAATTCTCTATTTCCTGTGAATGGGCTATGCTGCACATTCCTACAGATATTTGACTCATTTACTAATTTCCATTTTGCTGTTTAATGGCCTTCGTTATTTTATGGATAAAACAGGCTACTAAGTCCTGTAAAAATAAATCTAAAATTAGTACTGCAAATGGAAGACTGTTCCTTTCAAGACAGACAAAGAGAATAAGGTATCCTTTTTTTATTGTAAGAGTACCATAGTACACTGTATTCTTCCAGACTTTTTTATGTTTGTGTATAGCAAATAGAAAGCTTGGAAGAAGAATTCAGTACTAATAATGCCGTGGTATGGAGACTTCTCTTGAGATTAGCTGTGTCCACATTGTCCATATGACAGCTCTTCCAAATGCTAAAAATATTCCACATTCCTTTACAAATGAGATTATTTTCTGGAGACCTTTGCCAAACATTTGTGTAGAAACCTCAAACCCTACTCTTATAGAAGTAAGTAAGACTACAAGTCAGATTGGCGAACATGTTTCCCAGAGCTCATTTATCTTTAACAAATAATTCCATTGCAGCAAGAAAGCCAAATCTTGATCTTTTCATGAACACAAAGCTATCAGAATTTCAGAAGTTTCTAGCTGACTTTTTCTCAGAGTTCTACCATTTATTTGAGACCTACAGGTTTTAACTATGTCTGGTTTATATAGCAGTGGGCTGAAATGAAAATATTTTAATAACTTAAGGGACTTGTATATAGTCAAATGATACATTAGTGCAACATAATCAAGGTGCTATGTACTCCTAAAGGACACTGAAAATTAAATATTATCACTTTAATACAGTCAAAGATTGAGAAGTTGAAAAAATACACTTAACTATCACTTACAGTTAGGGTATTCTCTCCAATGATAAATAACTCAGGGTTATTTGTGTCAATTTTTGCTTCTGCAGAGAGTTGTAATGTCTGGAAAATTAACTGAAAGAGAAGATTAAAACAACTGTAAAGCTCTGTTATAGGGCAAATGTAAATTTAATTACATTTTAAAATTAAAATGTAGATATTCTAAAATAATTCTATTGCCTTGAAATAAAGACTTCACAGCCAGAAAAGAAAATCATAGTATTAAGAAAATTTAAATTATTTTAATATTTTTCCCAGCCATAATGTCAATCAAAGTAATAATATATCAGTAATCCACTTAGCAATGACACTGAGGAACTGTTTTTTCTTTTTCTTTAATGTACAGTTCAAGCAAAATAGAAGGAAATATTTACGTAACCCTTTTTGTAGTTATTTCAAAGCTGTCACTGCTGCTAGCAGGGAAGAGATGGGAGGAAATAGCAGTTAGAAAATGAGACACAGCAACAAAAGACAGATGGGAATATATCTCTGGCCTTTGAAAGAAATGGAAACTGGATGTTCTTTTACTTCCCCCCGCCCTCACTTCTATCCAATGCTTCTGTTTTTCCCCATTTATTTTTTCCTTTCACTATGTATTCCTCTTCATGTCTCAAATTCTGACATAGCTCTCTCAGCTTAAACAGAGATGACGACAAAAATCTTAAGCCAATTCCTATTTGAAAAGGGACCTTGTGCCAGACCCCACTTCCCTCTGTGGATGTACTGGGAGGAGAGGTGCATGGCTGTGTAGATGCTGACAGTTCACTGCTGCTCTTCCACAGCACCACAAGGAATGGCCTCAGGTTCATGGGAGCACAGGACCACTCTCTCCAGCTGACCCAAAGGCAATGCCTGCTCTGCCATTCTGCCTCCTCAGCCATTTCTCTGTGGCAGGGCCAGGTAGCACGGGCAGCTGTGGGTCCGCAGTGGCCAACACGCCAAACTGACTGGCTCTGCAGTGTGTGTTATTGCATCCCTGCACTGTGGCCATCTGCCCAAGTGGTGTGTCCTGCACACTTAAAAGTTTAGAAACACACCTGAGCACTATTCAAAGCACATAAATTCCTAAACACATTTTTTCTTTGCTTAGCAGGTACTGGCAAGCCTGTTGTGCCCTTCTTGGACAATGGCTGATTGCCACTAAAGAGGCTGATGTTGTGTATGATCGAGTGAGTGCTTGCAAGATTATTTGTGCTGAATTTTGATAACCAAATAGAAAATTACAAAATGGGTGATGCGAGGAGAACTGTGACATGCACTTTCCTTCCCATCAGCCAGTGATGGTAAACAAACCATTCCCACTCACTTTTTTGTGAGGCTAGTAACCTTTTGTTCAGGTTTCCACCTTTTGCGTACCTAACAGCACTAACAAATGGTCCTAAACCAGCTGATAAGAAAAATACAAATGCTAAAGACAGACAGATGCTTTTCGTCGCACACTTCCATAACACATTTAACAATATCAACCTGGCCTTTTCCTTTTAAGAGTTGAATGCTGGAGCTGACAACAGCCCTGCTGTTAAATGTCAATACCTGCCACAAGAATCACCAGACACACTAAGGAGACTGCGTCATGTTCCTGATGCATTAGGCAAACCCAGGACTCCAAGATCGTTTGGTTGGTTGCCTAGCTAAGAAGCAAACACGGTCTAACTTCAAAAGTCTGGTAACTCATGATGAGTTATATCCTGGAGGACACATGGTGGTTGAAAATGGGCTGAGATATTGATGTTTTTTTTAAGCATTCTGTAAGTCTCTAAGCAAGGACTGTTTCTTTGACACCTACTCTAATAAACACAAAAAATCAATTAAAGATGTTTTCCACACTTTCTCTATCCAATAAAACTGGCAGCATTAACAGGGTTTTGGTATTTTGATGTGATCTAAAATAATCACGATGTAGGCTGTGATATTCAAAAGCTAAAAAGCATGATTATTTTACAGGCTATGATGATACTGTGCCTGCTGTCCTAGGATGAGCTTTGTGGAAAATGTAGTTCCCCAAGAATGAATCTAACAGATGTAGGAAACATTTTTTCAGCTGTGAAGGTTGCATTATCATAGCATTTTCTTAGATTCTATGCTGGACTGAAGTTTTATCAGCTCCGTTATGCAGCCTCATACTTTCAGGTTCAAGTTTTCAATCCAGAAAAATACAAACCAATATAAAGTAAAGGAAGGTCTTTCTAGACTGAGGTCTCTGTACTCGGTAAGTACTCTGATAGTACTCTGTACTCTCTCAGTAAGATCTCTGTATTGGACTTTAAAAAATATCAGGAGTTTTAAAATACTTGAGTATTGTATCCTCTGTAAAAATGCAGCTGATACTCACGGCAGCAAAGGTTCCGTTCCAGATTTGGGTGGACACATTCACAAAATACTCTCCCTTCAGTGCAATGTCTTCCAGTTTGCATGTGATGGTACTGCACTTTGCATTCTTACAGCTCTTCCAGGGGAAATAGCAAGAAGAGGCAACAGCATGCATTAAAAATACACTTTAAGAAATATTCTTGCAACATCCAGAATTTTTGCCCTTGCCTTTGCCATTCTGTGCATACAAATTAAGTGCTTACAGGCTGTGCTAAAGCAGAGGCAGTATCTGTGAGAACATCCATAGGATGAGCTCCCGCTCTGTAAATGAGGAAGGCCACCCCATCACAGCTTTCCTCACAAATACAGCAATGGGCTCAGAAGGTCAGCTCTGCTTCCCTCAGCTCAAAAGGTCCTGCTTACTGCAGCCCTGGGTTTTACTCACCAGTTCTTTGGAAGCTCTGAAGTTCTCCTTCATGAAAGATGTAGAATAAGGTCTTTTCCCTATTTGCAGTGGATTTATCTGAGCATCACAAGTAACACCTCTGGCCTAGGAAAGATGGCAGGAATGAGACAGATGACATGCTACTCAGGAGTTTATACTTATCATAATAATATACATTTCTGGGCTTAGATGGTGGCTGTTAAAGGCTGAAGTGTGAACACTGAATTCTTTAGGAAACAAAGAGTATGTGGTTTTGGTCAGAGGTAAATAATTCTTATGACACTTTTTTTGTCTGTAGATTGATCTGAAAGGTTTTTCCTTATCTAAAAATTTCATTTTTACAATAAGTTTATCAGGAACTTGGAGAAGGATGTAACTGAAGAGATCCAGATACTCCACATCTGCCAAGTAATAGCATAGTGTACTGCTGGCATTGTGGTTCCCCCTTTATGAGGAAGGGACAAGGAGAAAGAGCATGGATTCTCTTACACTAAGCTATAATATTGGGGAGATAATTGATGTTTATAGTACTGATAAACCCCCAAACACAATTTACTTCTATACCTCATCTGTGGTGACTGCAGTTAGGTACATCAGTGGGTTGCCTTTGCTGGTCAGTTCGGGAAGATTGATTGTTACAGTTGCCATCTTTACTGGAATACTTCCTGTTGTTACCTGCAAAGCAAAAAATTCAGGAGTTAATTCAGGTAGCTGTGCATAAATTATTTGATACAGCAAGAAAATTAGAAATAATGGATGAGTATGGAAGAACTGGACTCCTTTTACATAGATTTTTTTACTAAGACACTGGGGTAGTAATTTTGTGAATAGTAAAGTAGAAAGTATATTGTATAGCTCCAGGTTCCTGTCTGTTTTCTTAGCAAAGCTCATATTAACTGCATGAAATATGTTTTGAAAAGCAAATATTCTGCCATGGCCAATAGGCCTGTTTAGTTCTTTGGAGTAGCAGTTACAGGAATGGAAATGGAACATAATTTAACTTTCTTCCACGTTGCATATTTGGATCTAAGTTTTTTTTTTTTTTTTTTTTTTTCTGTGTTATGTAATAAGCACTGTGATTTGGCTAGTTCTTGCATCAGGTTTGAGCCCTTAACCCTTGCCAAACTTCAAGTTTCAAAGTCCAAGCCTTGTTTTTCTTTATCAAGTTGTCAGGAGACTCTGTAAAAAAACAGTCTAAAGTTGGCCTAAAGTTAAGCATTAACCATCTTCTTAATATGTACACAGTGCAGGACCAATCCCTCCCCCATTCTACTTGTGCAAATGTCATCCTTAACCTTATGAAGACTCCAAGAACTTATGCTATTTGCAAATATTTTTTCTTATTTGACCTATTCAAAAGCTTCAAAATAAGACAATGAAAGCAGGAGTGTTTTTTAAACAAGGTTTTGGGAGCAGGCTACAGAGGGAGCTAAGGCAACTTCTTGAACCAGAACAAAACAGACTTACTAACCTTAACTGAGAAGTTGAACATGGGGCCAATATCTTCAAAATTATTCACAGTGGAAGGAATGTTATGACCAGAGTATACTTCATAGAAGTTGATATTGGCAAGCCTGGTTAACAACCATAAAACAATACATTTCAATTGGCAGCTGCTTTGAAAACATATGTTACTGGATATGACTTTGTGAAAAAGGTCAGAAGTACAGAGAGAGAAGTCAGTCACTTAGACTGTTGTTTGAATTTTACAAAGTTGGTTAAGAAAATGGTGTGCTGAAGCCCAGAGCTGGAAAAAACATATGAAATTAAGACAAGAGAATTGTACAGAATACAGGCTCTCTTAGGCTTCTAGACCCTGCAATTGTTTCAGGGTCATACTGCCAACTCCTTCTCTGTGCACAAAAAGTCACCTTTTTTTCTCAGGAAGGGCCTTCCTGGCTGTCTCCCTGTAACTGGTTGGGTGTGGAAACACAGGCATCACCCTGCTTATGTAGATGGTACATATCACATAGCCCTCACAGTCCTCTTTGGGTCATATTGTTTAGTAATTATAGAGTTTAAAATCCAGAACTCCCAAAGTAACACAAGAGTGGTTTCAGCCTACTGCAGCATGGAATGGCAGGTGTGTGATGAAAGGGCATGGGGCAAGGACCTGTGGGTGCTTGAGGAGCTCAGTTAGTCAGAACCACACTCAAAGGCAAGGAAAACATCCCTGTGCAGTGCATCACACCCACTACTTGCTACCTGTGAGCAGCTCCTCTGCTAAACCATGCCAGAACTGTGTCTGTTCTTTATCATTAGCTTTAATTACAAGGCTAATTTGAGCACTCAAAAAGCAACCTGGTGAGGGAGTGAACAAGAAATAGAGGCTATTGCAACTCCCACATCAGCTCTTCCTGTTCCACAAGGAATCTATCATCTTTACTGCCCTCCCTGTTTAATCTGGGTAACATCTGTGAGTACAATATCATGTGTGTGCAGTCTCACAGATGTGCTTCCTGATCAGTGGTGATCCTCCATACTGCACGGTGGTTCCTTTTTGAGCCTCCATACCTTCTCCCACGGGCCCTTTCCTTGAAGGACTTGCTCACAAGGACTCCAAGGAAAACACACATTACATATTTTCTGCTTTCTTACTGCTGAAGATTTTAGCCCTTCCAAGATTCCTTGTCTTTTCAGAAGTCTCTGGAAAGACATATTGCTACATCTTCTCCTAGAAACTCAGGAAAGTTATCCCTAGAAAGACTTCACTTCAGCAAAACAATACTTTTTTTCAGCTCTTGTATTTTAAGGGATTACTTCTTGGCTGCATTACCTGCCTCAGGAAAGAACTAATTCCAGGTAAATACTTCCTAAGCCAAGTTATCCCATGGCTTAATATGCATTCATTTAATTATTTTAAATTTATTATCTCCAAGAATAAACTAACCATTTTCTGGCAGTAGATATTCCCTCATTCCTTGATGTGCATATGAAATTGCATTTTTTCATATTCAGGAGATATAGCTGAATTCAAACACTTGTTTTCCCTTGAATAACTTTTACAGACTCCATTCCTCACTTCTTCCGAAGCATTTCATTTCAGTTCATATTTCTCAGCTAATTACACCCGCTGATTCAAGTTTGCACCGTCTGAATTTCCTAAGAAGCTAGCCCTCTGCACAGATGCTCCTGCAGTCTCTGCTGCTGCTGGTGAGGTCTCATGCAACTTTCTCAAGCAGCTGAAAGAACTCGCACCACTGACTTAAAATGCTTTTCTGCACTTAAAATAATCTCAAAAATTCTGCATGACTCCAGGACTGGTGCACCTATTCATGATGCAAGGCCTCAAATATTCTGAAACTGCTTCTGCAAAGAAGCTTATAACACTAATCTTCTGTACTGTGGTCCTTATTCCAGCTCATCCTGGAATAAGAACAGCAGCCAACAGTTCTTGTAGCTATGGTGATCTCTGAATATTAATTTCCTGGATCCATTGTTGCTGTGCATTTTGAAGCAGCTCCCTCTTTTTATAATTTATGTTATTCTCTGAATATCTGCTGGGTTTTTTATATCCATTTATAGTTACTAATTTTTGAACACTTTGGGATGCAAAAGCATTTTGTCACCAAGAACCGGTGATCAAATTCATTAAGTGTAATTACATGTTGATCCTGGAAATTCAGTATTTGGGAGAGATAAATAAATCTATTCTTTGATGAAAATGCAAACATCCTACCTTGATCCGAAAGTGACACCCATATATTTTTGTTTCAGTTGCAATCTAAGTTAAACTGTAACTGAAATAATTCTTGTTTGGAACAGTAACAGACTAATTACTGTTTGAGTGCATCCCAAATCACCAAGTGTTTCCAGGGCTTTCAAGAGCACTGTATGATGATAAAAGGTCTTAAAAGGCTTTTTGTTGGTCTCTCTCCCCCTACTTGCTCAGTTGCCTCTCCTTACCTTCCCAGGGTAAAGGATCTCTCTTGCAACAGCCCTGACTTGCCTTCTACATGGAGAAGAAAGGGCTGGCACCAGGCAGCGGGGATAGGTTTGAGCCAGAACCTGGATGGGTGCATGGGAAAGCAGGCTGTCTGCTTCCAGTGCCAGTGCAGCTGCAGCAAGGGAGAATCTGCCAGGTGTACCTCAGTTTTAGTTCAAATCATTATCTCAAACTGCTAAAAAGTTTATATTCTTGCTCCAGGTTCATCAGAGAGGTCCATAATTTTTTTCTTTTTTTCTTTCCCTCCTTTACTGAGGGGGGACATATTTTTCCTTTTGACATTCTTTTGTTTAGTTTTCATCACTGTAACTCCAGATGTGATCCCATGTCATTACATTTGAGCCAAGAAGCCAAATGTTATTATACAGTATATACTATTTATATTATCAAAACTACATGCACTGTTTGGCCTTTATATCACTTCTGTTCACAGGAGCACCTGTAACAAGTGTTCGGAGGTAAACACAGGTCCACAACTTTCCTAATTTTTTGCATACGAGTTTGGTTGGAAGAATGGACAAACCTGCTACTACTGGTGAAGAGGGAATTTCTTATGACTTCCAAAACAAAAGCAAAACTTCACTATATTTTAGTGGCCTTTCAAGACTATTACTTCAAGTAGCTTGGGAAATGACCGTGTATGTTTACAAAACTCAGCATACCTTGTGAAGTGAATCTCCGCATCATATCGCAAAGGAATTGATAAGGCGACCTGGTTGTCCGAGTCTTGCTGTTCCTTACTTTCACTGTTCATCAAAACACATTTCAGTCAGGTGTAATAATTTACACAAGCTTTTAATACCTAACTTGCTTTCATATCATTAGGTACTTTACCTCCATGCATGAAAACTTAGAACTGCCCCATTCTGAAGATTTTTAAGGTTAAAATCAAAGCTAATATCAAAGGATACCTACGGAAGAGACAAGGAACACATAGTAAAGAAGTTGGTACAACATCCTGAAAGACATTATTCATATGTGCAACGATCTAGAACTGCCCTCTGTACCTGAATTCTCTACAGATTTCTGTGTAATATTCCAGTAATTTCTTAATACTTAGAATTGATTTGTTCTTACATTCCCCTACAAGTTGGCTTTCTTACACAAACATGAGTTATTTGCATTTTAAAAATGTGTACAAGTAGCTGTAAGCTGCAAAAAAAGGTGTTCACAATTCCTTCATTTTAAACTCTAGCATTGACACAAGCTTTGTGTTCACTCTTTTCTTCCATTTGTTCCAGCAGGTCCACTTTGAGCAATTCCATTAACATTCAGAACAAGCTTAACTTTCTATACATGATTTTTTTTTTAATTATTATTCCACATGTCCTGCCACAGGACATCATGTTTCTGTTCTTTCAAGCAAGTTTCTTATTGCTGTAGCTGATTATGTTAGAGGCTAGAACCCTGTTTCTGCTCTGCCCTTGAGGAATAAGAGATTTCATCAAACTGTAGATATCCTGAGGTTTATGTTATATATGAAAAAGAAAGATATACAATTCATCTTAGGGCTGTGTGGGCCTCCAATCTCCTCCCAAAACAATACTGCTTTCTTGGAGAGATGAGATTCACAGAGCTGGTGAGGGAGTTACCCCAGATTCACACTGCAGGAGAGATTTGATGGAAACTGTGCTCAGTTCTTAGGAGCCTGCACATGATGCTCAATGCTTCTTTGCCCCCAGCTTTCACTCTTCAAAAGTTACATAACTGCAGCAGCATCCGGAATCTGTGGGTTATGAGGTTTGATAGCCGTTTGTCCTTTAATCTGACAGGTAGTCACATATTTTGAGCCCTAGTTTGCTTATTTTAATGCCTCTGTTGTAAAATCTAAGAAACCTTTACCAGCACTAAATGCAGAGTTAGGAAAAAACCAGCAGAAAGGGTTTTAGGTGTCATTCAAGGTTACTTAAACATGCTAGCTGTACCTGTTGTCCTGTTCTGAATACAGGATAGCTTATTTGGCAAATGACTGTACTCTGTGCTGTTCCTGTCTGACACGAGACTTCAGTCCCATCACTCTGCAGAGAAAACAGACAGAAACACCATCTTATGTCAGGTTTTGATAAGGCAGAGAGGTGTGTACTTCCAACAGCATATGTATTATAATACGGAGGAATGAAGATAGGTGTTATGGCAGTAAATCCTAGAGATGCAGCAGACAGGTGGGGTATAGGCAGGGCAGGAGGAAGTCACAAGGAAGGTGGGACAATAACCATTCCCACTTGATTTCTTGGGGGCTGCAATCATCTTACTCGAACTTTGTGCTGAGCTTGGAAGAAGGAATAGAGGCCAGAGAGTACAGGTCAGCTCTACACTGACACTCTAAGTCCTTTTTTTACAGAAATTTTACAGAACTTTTGCAGACATATTTACACAGTCTTAGAGCTGGAAGAAATGAAACTTTCTGTAGGAAAATCTGCCATACATAATAGTTTGTTTACTACTTTCCAGAATATTGGCTTGTCATCATCCGTGATTCAAAGACAAATTCACAGACCAGAGCCAGTTATCAACCCTTGGGAGAAGAATTTATTTAAAAGTACTGTCTTTTGTAAAAAAGCATTCCTACTAGACATTTACCATTCATGAATTGTGCTACAAAAAAAACCCAAAAAAACAAAAAAACTCAAAACAAAACCTCCAAAAAGACCCATACATACTCAATTTATGTTTTTCATCCTGCCTTGAAGCAGGCACATTTTTGGTCCAAACTTCAGTTGCAGGCTGAAGTGCTTCTAAGCAAAAGGGCTTTTAAAGCAAAATAAAATTCTAGCTCCAGTGTGGTCTTTTGGCAGGAGTGAAATGAACAATCTTGCTGCACAACAGGATGGGGAGGTAGAGGGGCACCCCCAGCGCTGTGTGCAGTACTTTTGCCAATTCATTGTTCAGAATAATGCTGCTCTTGGGCAGGAATGAATGCTATCCCTCTTCTCCCTTCAGTACAGGGATTGCTCTGGATTTCACCCCCAGGATTATCACGCACCTCTCCAGTAGGAGCTGACCATTATAAGCCAAGCACTGAAACCTGCATTTCATCCTTTGTGAATCAGGAGCAACAATTTAAATTATAGGTATACTGTATTCCCCAAAATAGTATGCACAGTTCCTCTCTTTTGGTTTCTCTAAGATACAATTTGTTGGAAGAAGAGCTTTTGGTATAGCCATTGTGTCAATCTGAGTAACTGTCTAGCTGGAACACATGGCCTTGGCAGTAACACTATTTCTAGATCCAGAGTCTGTGCTTTAAGGATTCATCATCAATGCTGCATGTCTGATTTATCAAATACAAATTCCCTGTGGCACAGCAACTGCTTCAGGCATGCTGCTGTGAATTAAGAAGAAGATGTAGGTGCCAAGGCCTAAAGTGAGGAAAAAATGTCTGAGGTGAGGTCAAACTGGAAAAGTTGCCAGCTTTTATGCTGAGTTGGAAATATCTCTCCTTGACCTAAATAAACTGATCTGCTGCGAGAATAATTCTGGTATCCAAGAAAACAAATTGTGAGAGAGTCTTGTACACACATTCTTTTCTGGAATAGACACTGATAGAAAGAAAAAAAAAGAAAATTTCTATTAGAACCTCAAAATCAGGGGCAACAACAGAAACATTGAAGTTGGGTGTCACGCACCGGTAAAGAAGATGAAGCAAAAAACAAGTTGTCTGAAAACGTAGCCTGGATTCTGGTGTTATATGCATTTTCCTTTTTATTTCTCAATTTCACGTTGAATGTTAGTCTTCTGTTTTTGCTGCTGACAATAAACTGTTGCTTGCTGTTGGAAAATAAAGTCTATTGTTGTAAACAGAGGTACTAGAACAGCTGTGGATCAGGAAAATGTGTTGCCCAAAGCCAACAACAAATAACAAGCACAGCAAGACATTTCCTACATTGTACACACTTAAACGCTCTGCTTTCTAAACCCCTTGGCATAAGAAATTCTGTGATGGTGTTTCCTAAAACCAGATAGAATTATGGTATTCTGAAAATGCAGGACTTTGATTATGTGTTGTCAAAGTGACTGCTGAATTTTCAAGGGGTCTACCCTGGTGGGAAGGTGGACAGAGTGGGCAGCACACATGGGCAGCCTTATCCCTGTGATGCATATAGATGCATATACATCTGACATGGACTTAGAACATGTGCTGCCGAAAGAGCTGACCACAACTCCCCACTGGCACAGCTACTGCAGGATCCTCGCTGCTCCCTGCAGGAGGGATGAAGACAACTGCTGCAGCTGCTGCTGCTCTCCCATTGTGCACCCTTTCCCAACAGCAGCCAGTCAGACACAATTTGTCCAAATACTCACTATGTCCTCATCTCTAAGGTACCAAAACTTGGGTTGGTCTAAGCTGACAAGAGTCCTACTTCTGTGTTTGTGTCCCTATCCTGCCTCTTTTTCCTCCATTAAATTTAGATTAAAATGCCACTGCTTTTTTTATCCGTGCTGTTTCTAAGCAGATGTTAAACTGGAAAGGCATTCTCCTCTAGAAATTAATCCAAAGCCTACAGAAAAACCAACTGTTGAAAACAGTGGACCTTAACAGTTCCACTGATTCAGCTCTTACCTGTCATCTGCCTTCTGCTGAACATTCAGAACAAGATCACAGATACAAAGTTCATCTTCACCACAGTCTTTAATAAAAGGAATCTAGGAAAAACAAAAACATTTCCTGAATGACAGGGCTCAACTTTTAACATGATCTGAAGACACTAGAGTGCAAACACCTTCAAGCTGAAGCACATTCTTGGTTTGCAGATAAGAAAATCCCTCTGAAGGACATTAAAAATCTTGACAAGTGAATGAGTGAACTGAATAATATGTTGCTACACGTCAACTGATCCAAGAACGGTACAGACAGGTTACTCTTCAATGACAACAAAGGTGGTGTAGTCAAATTAGTTTCATCTCTCTTCTATCCTTTTTACTCTCTTCAGTACCTTTTTACTGTAGAATAAACTGAAAGAATTCATCTTTGCCATCAACTAGAAGCTCACATCAATGGTGACTTGGCTGAACTGACATGCTTGTTATGTGCTAAGGTGGCTGATGTGTGTGTGCGAGCAAGCTCACGTAATACAGGCAAAAGTATGAAAGGAACCAGGCGACAGCCCTCCCTCCATGTGACTTGCACAGAGCACCAGTTTCACTTGCATGTACCTCTTGGGTGTTTGTGAGGGCCACACATTATGGATGTGGATGGCCATGCACTTCTGAATAGTCAATCTGCACACTTACGCTATAGGCCACAGATGCTGGAGAAGATATGTCCAGGACAGGGCTGGAGCCAGGATTTGCAAGACCAATGTCAATGCGCAAACTGAGAGAATTCACGGCATCTGAAGGCTCCTGTAAAACACACGTGGTTCAGATGATGGCTGCACAGAAAACGGGGTAAAATTGGTAATTTCTATTGTGAATTGAGAATGAGCAGTAAGATAATACTTGCTCTAAACAAGGAGAAGCAACAGTTCAAAGCTTCATTTCTTAAAGAAAATAATTTTGTGAGATTGACCAGTGTGGGCTCCTCTAGATTTAGAGTTTTCAGTGTGATTTCCATGATAAAACTGATTTTTTAGGATTCCTGGAGACTGTGCAGTCACAGTAACTACTAGGACTAAGGAACATGCAGATTTGTCTGCAGCCGTAGGAGCTGGTCCTCAAAGCCATCACCAGGTAGCTTTCATTCTCATCCAGCTGCAGAAGTCAAATTCCTATTCCACTCTGCCTTACCATCACAAAGAGCATCTGGGCCTGAGTGACACTAAACCACAGAAAATGCCATGTCTCCTCTTTTTTCAGTCCTGGATAAATAATCTTCTAGCCCTGTAGCTCACTGTTCCATATGGCACTAAATGTGATCAATAGGTCACTGCAAACCAGAGCAGGGACAGAAGTCATCTACCTGTCCTAATATCATGCAACAGAGCTTAAGGCAAGTCTCAGGGCTCTGTTCAGTTTTTTTGGCTCTGGATAAAAATGGAGACCTGCTTATTTTAATTTAATTCCTTGGTGTGTACCAGGGGTTAGGATGCATGCAAAATCTGCCTGAATGTTAGTTTGAAGACAATATCTCCATTAATGTTTTAGTTCTTACAAAAGAGTCTACTCAGAGGGAAATTAAAATCTATTTAAACTATAGACCATGGGCCCTATATTACACCAAAGCTGAATAGCACAATTAAGACCCCTCTTTTCTATCCTAAAAATCTGTACTGAATGTGACAGTTATTTGTTTCTATGAAATCATAATCTTATTATGTATTTTTCAGCTGGGGGGATTTGGGAAATATAAATAATTCAGTACACCATGCATGAAATTCACATTACAGACAAAAATTAATCCATGCCTTCCTCTGATCTTCTGTTATACAAGAGTGCTTGCAATTGTACTTACTTGTACACTGAAGACATCATGAACACAATTCTCTTCATGATGCACCACAAGATCCCTCTGCATGTACCTTTCATTATTTTCTTTGAAAAATCCTCTAGAAGTCACTCTGGAGGACTGGAGATCTGCATCCAATGTTGCATTGTACTTTATAGCTGCAGGAAGAATAACAGTACACTGTCGACTGAGCATGGTTGCCCATGATCTCATTACTATGCTCAATTTTATAGGGACCAGGCTTTCCAAACCACACTAAGAATTCCATGTTTTTCACAGCTAAACACAGAGCAGTTTCAAAATGAAAATACTTTCTCTTGTGTTTTCCAAAGCAGTCAAACAGGTTTGGGTCCTGATCTGCAAGAGGCACATCAAATGGCAATCAATCCAGCCTCCATTGCAGATGTCTGAGCCTGCAGCTCAGGCAAGAAGCCAGTCAGCAGGGCCAGGGTTACTCTAGATAAAGGGGCCTTCCAACAACACCACTGAACTCAGAGATGACTTTAAACAATCTGCATCTTCTCTTCAATCACATAATAATTTCTGCCACCCCCTCTTTGTTTTATGACTATTATGTTGTGAAAGTTCATTGTTATTTCATAGCTTAAAACCGTGAGTTCCTAAAGGCACTTTATGTAGCACTGAAGCAGTCCAACTGGTGTTGTCTGTGAGACTGAACTTAAAAACTTCATGGGAGCCCACTGCTGGTCACAGAAATATTCACTGTGCTCTGAAAAGAAGAGCTTCCTCCCACTGAAAACTGCTCTGACCCTCTGGAAAATATTTAGTTTTCTTTTTCTGACAAGGAAAAGTATGCAGCCTGCTGTTGTAAACAGAAGGTTGGATGAACCTAACTCCTCATGATTTGCATTTTTGGGGATTGTTGAACAACAAGGACACAGCTGTCCTCTATACTGTTAAATCCCCACTTTTCAGAGTATGGAGCCAGTGATGAATTAGGTCTTAAAAACACTTTCTCAAGCACTTAAGTGTTACATTGATTTTCTGATTCTTGACATTCAATCTAATACATATTTAGGCTCTCCATTACTCATTTAAATAATGGACTTTTGAAGAAATTAATATAAGACAAATCATCAAAATACTCTTACCCACTTGATTATTTTTCTTAGCAGGTCTAAATGAAGCCTGAAAACATATTTTGACAGTTATATCTGTACTCTTGTTCAGCAGACTGATTTTCTCGGGTTTAAATGAAGCAGTTATGGACACATTTGCAATGCCTCTTGACCTGAAAAATATATTTTAGAAGTTACATGGGGTTTTGAAGAACACTAGGTAACACAGAAGGTCTTGTCTAACACTGTAAATGTCAGTATTGATTCTTTTTGTTCCCAATGTAAATTTCTTTTAATGGCACTACTAAAATTATTTTTCCTTAGGTATACAAGAATTTGTTGATATCATTGCTTACAGTAATAATAATACGTATTTTCATGTCAAATTAATAGCTGATTGATGGCTTCATCCTATGCTCTAATCAATCCCTCAAGGTATCAGAGAATGAAGCTCTTGGCCTATTTTCCAAATAAGTAACCTTCTGCTCCTTTAGAGCTCTTCTGGGAAGGTGAGAGTGGGTAATTCTTCATTTTATTTAATAATCTAATTTTTCTGAAAAACAACTTTGATGTAATTAATCAAGATTTTGAAGAAAAGTTTCAAAGGAACTCTACATGTAAAAACAAACACTTTCATCAAAATGAAATGCATTAATCAGCCCGAATGTCGGAGTGAAAGAAGAATGAGCATCTTCATTAATCAAATCTCAATAAATGCTGGTACTTCAAGGAGCATAATTTTCTTTAATGAAATTCCCAGCAGCAGCAGCAGCAGCAGTCAAAAGTCCAAACTGACCATTCATTTTTAATTATCTTGTTTCATTACGAAAGAAGTAGCAATTCACTGATATTTTTCTTACAATGGGGAGCCTCAGGCATAAAGACAGGCAACAGATAGGAAAGGAAACAGCATTTGAATTTAGCTTTTCAAGCAAGGAGTGGAAATCACAGCCTACTTAGGCAGGCAGAAGATTTGGGTTCTGTGAAACCTTTTTTATATTTTGTGAAAGTACTCTGACTTCTGTGGCAAAGGCAATGTGCCATTAAAAATGTGTTTCTTGCCAGAACTAGTTGTCAACTCTCTATTACTGCTCTCTGTCCTTACCCTGCAGGACAACACTCCCCCCATACCAGGCTATCAGCCAGTAAAGGTCACAGAGGTTGTGTGAGACATGGCTTCATCTGTCTCAGGCTCAGCTGTCAAAATTATACTGTGGCTACTGAGGTACACAGCCTACTGTTAAAAACACCCTCCATCAAGCCCCACTTCCTGCTGCTGTCCCTTCCCTCAGGACAATGTGCCTGCACAGCAGTAGCAGGAAGATGTCTCCTGGCCCTCTCATTCCTGGTCAGGTCCCTCCCATCAGGGAGGGAAGCTCTGCCACCTGGTTTCCTCCCACATGCCTTGGCTCTGCCCTGTGTGCTGCCTTGGCTTTCAGTGGTTTAATGATAAACGCCTAAAAGAGATTTAGTTTAATGCTCTTTTTGAAGCTAGTTTTGATAGCAGTGATGAGGCAGTAAGTGTGCTAGCACTGAACATATGTAACAAAAGAGCTTTTAAATTTGCTTATTTTTCCTGTTTAATTAACTGCACCTTAAACTGCTGCATCTGAAGTACTAACTGCTTCCTTTCTAAGAAAGAGTATACTAACCATAGCACAACCACATTTCCATCAGCACCAACCGATATGTCAGTAATGCCATCGTCATCTAAGTCTCTATGGCCATCTACTGATCTTCCAAAGAATTGGAGCTTTTGTCCAAAAGCAGAATCCAATCCTAAGATTTTCTGGGAAAGAGAGTTTGGTTACTGAGTTTGCCAAAGCATGCTTAAGTCCATAGATAGTAGCCTAATTAATAGATTTTCACAGATACTCCCTGCATATGCAATGCATTGTTTAACAAAATGCATTTGTGCGTGTTTTCTCAGAAGCTTTTGCAGCACTTCTTTCTCCTCTATTGGAGCAAACAAAGGACTAGATTTTTCTGTCTTGGGAGCAGATCAACTGACTGCTGTATGCCAGATACAGCTGGAAACTTTTTCCATCTCACATTGAGCAACTCAAAGAATATGAAGCTTAATAGGAGTTCTGACAAATACTTGTTACAACCAGAAAATCTGCATAGAAAGTGACAATAAGATTACCATTATAGTATATATGAAGACCAGTGAAAGACTTTCCCTTTAATACTATGTATTTGTAATTTGCAGAGCTGGGATTTATCTAATCTTCATTGCTGTACATCAACACTAAAAACCTGAAAATAATGGTGTCAGTTTTAGGATAGTAGTTGACTTCACACTCAGGCATCAAAATGGCTCAGAATGAGCATCCTGCACATCCTTTTCCTCTATATGGTTCATTTATAACCACCACAACATCAGCCTGAATATGTTGACATGACAGCTGAAAGAGGGAGAGGCACAAAATGTGAAATAAACCATGAAAATAACAGTATTCCTTTAAGAGGTTGAAACAGTAGCCAATTAAAGCACAGAAAACCTTCTAGCAGATTTAAAGGCACTGAGTACAGCATTATGCAACACAGTTATTTACCTGAGAATATTTGGTACGTATAGTCTTTTGAAATCCATTATAAATGTAAATTGCTCCTGAGTTTTGGTTTTCCAGTGGTGCACCTATTACAACATCATTAGAACCATCCAAATCAATGTCTGCAAGTGCTGCAATTGCTGATCCAAAGCGTGCATTTTCTGATCCCTGTGGACCTTCCAAGAGTTCTTGTTGATCCAAGATTCTCTTTAAAAATTGAAAAGTAAGAAAAAGTAGAAACACAGCTATCATTGCACCAGCTTAGACCTAGGAGCAGCATCTATGTGCATTGTTTTTTGTTTCTGTTTTCCAGTACATTCCCCTCAGATAGCTCAACATTGAATTCCTTCCCCATTGTACTGGCCATTCAGTTTGCATTATGTCTCAAAGTCTTGGCAAGAATTACACAGCAAAATCAAAGCATGCTATGCAAAGTACTAACAGCAAATATAACCATATGTATGAAGCTTAAATGCCCTCTCTGTCCTCATCTGACTGTTCTGAAGTTTCACAATACATTGAAAAATACAGTTTCCAGTTTTGGATTACTGGTTTTTATGCAGAGGGAATGGAAATTATGTAACTGGACATAATTCTTTGAAATAGAAATGGAATTTCCTTACTAAACTAATGCAAAAAACATGTGTCCAAATGGTAAACTCCTGACCTCTCCAATGCCAATGAAGAAAGAAAGACTGGAGATCTTCATAGTTAAATAAACCCATTTACACTAGATTAAATGCAACTCTGGCAAATAGCATTCTCACCTTTAACTTCAGTTACCATACTGTGCTTAAAATTTTAGAAATAACAGCCAAGTTATTTATTAAAAATGACTAGTATTACTTGCGCAACGGGTACAACTTGCACAAATCCAGATTATTTTTAAAAAACATTAAAAGCACATTTCATTATTCTTTCCTATTTAAAATTTAAACCAAACATTTGAAAATAACTAAATATTGTAAGATAGCCTTCCAATTTATTTGGTTTTCAAAAGCAAAGAAAAACAAATCCTTTCATTTTTCTTTTCTTTCATATCTCATGTCTGATACCACAGGCAAAAAGACCAATGCCAGCTGCCAACTTTCACCTCCTCCATCTACGTTGAAATTGTTTTAGGGTAGTTTCCTGTTGCATCATGATGCTCTGACTGAGGTCCTGCTGAGGAGCACGGTCCTTCCTCTCTATTTATTTGATTGCAATTTACCTGGTAAAGAGATAATTTTCTGTTTTCTCTGATGGATGTCAGAGATTAATTTACTTTGCAGACATCCAGTGAATGAAAGACTGATTCAAAAATGCCAGAGGGCTCAGCTCTGAAAACACTACTATGGGTCTGAATAAAAAGTACTGTCAGTCAAGCATCAGACAAATAACTAAGCTTTACTGAATAGAGGGGACAACAAGAGTTATGGTAACCATCCAGTATTAGAATCTATGAAACAATGCAGAAAGCTGGTAAAAGAGCATTTCTTAGAACTGCTTTGGGAATACTGTCAGGCATTGAATACATTCACCAAAAACAAATGGCAAATTACTTAGCAAAAGCCTTGAGCTAGGTTTTTCAGAGATACAGCCAACCCATGCTATATTAGCATGAAGTACATTACCAGGACCAGGGAGACACTGAGAACACCAGGCCCCTGACCACTAACAGTGCTTAGCTACTGCCTTGCTCATTGGCTCCATTTTGGTCTGTTCCAGCTGCCTAATTCCCAGATTACACGCACAAGCAGCTCTGGGGCAAGTTTGCAGCTACTACTGAAAAGCAGAACGTGTAAGGCAGCATTGGAAAGGCCTCCACACACATCCCTCTAACCAGGAAGGCTTGGCAATATTCATCCCTGCCCTTATGCCACATCCCAGGATAAGCACATGCTCTGTTTCTTGTTAAAAAAAAAAAAAAAAAAAAAAGTCACTTGAAATATTTCTAACACTTTGAAAAGAAAAAGTCACTAAATAGTGACTTTGAGGATCTGGAGAGGCCAAAGGCCCTTCAGCATCCATGTGGCCAATCTGATTTGAAAGAAATTAGCCCTAAGTAATGCTGGCTTGAACCATTTTTACCTTTGTGATGGAAAACATGTATACTCTCCCTTCTTCCTTCTTTAGGTCATTCATAAACATTGGTGCACCCACAAGCAGCACATCTGTCACAGAATCTCTGTCGACATCCACTGAACACACCACACTGCCAAAGTAGGAGCCAATCTGAAATCAGAAGCAAATGGGCTGTTGCTGTATATGGTTTTTGTAAATTATGTTTTAGCCCCTGATCCAGAAAACTTACATCCAGTTATATCCCAATGCTACTGAATGTTGATGAATTTAATTACTCTGTAGCATACTCCATTATTGGAAGAATAATATTCTTACAAATATTTCACTATTTCTGTCCCATAGTCGCTGCTATGGCTTTACCTCTCAGCAATACAAATACCAACAGAAAGTAAGATATGGGAGGTATTTATTTTTCTATAACTGCACATGAACTACCCAGCCTCTGATCTAATCTCAGATTTGTCCTAAAGATGATACCAAAACCACCTAAAACCATTCCTCTTTTCCAAAGAGAAAAAGAGATTGAGCTTCTATATCTGTCTTCTTCTGTCATCTACTTCACAATTTCTCAGACAGAGCAGAGTTTACTGAGTATCTCCTGATTTGAATTTTTGACAGAAGAATACATTAGTTAGAATTGTATATTATCTTTTGCCACTAATTGGATGACTTCCTAAAATACTGTTTAAGAGCAACAGCTAACCTCATTTAAATAGTCTAGTGGCAGAGAAAAGTTCAAGTGGATTTTAAATGCTTTGAGACAAAGAGGAATTTTCAAAACAAATTGCAATTTACTGCTGGGTCAATAAAAAAAGATTCCTGAAAGTCTGTATTCATGACCAAAATATACTTGCCTGCTCGCCTCTCTGTGACTGCACAATTGCAACATTACCATCACTGTCAACATTATAAACCACCACTCTGCCAGTGTAGTTGGATCTTGGTGCGCCAGCAACAAAATAGACAGAGCTCATAGTTGAGAGAACAGCAACAGAATAACCTGGGTATAGAAGTCAACATTTAACATATGTAAGAGATCGTTAATTACAGTTTATCAATTGGTTATCCATAAAGGCACAGAGGATGAGTCAGTCTGGTATGTTAATTGCACACAGTGATGATTCCAGATGGGAAGTTATGCTGTCACATATGCATAAAATTTGCAATATTCTCCTGGAGAGAACAATGACACACAGATCAAGCTGAAGCAGGTTTACAGAATAATACAATAGCTTAGCCTATTCAGTAAAATGTAGACCACAAAAATGTCATGCTTGTGAAGGAGACAGGAAAAAAAAAAAACATGCAAAGAGTATCCTTGGAAAGAAGAAATAAACATGAGATGACTGTTTGAACCAGACTTCAAACTAGGGAGCAACACCTAGCTTCTGCAAAGTTTGCAGCGCATTTTCCCACAGCTCACTAAACCACAGGCCAGTGGTTTGTCTGAATAGAAGAGGCTACACTAACAGCTTGCTAGCTGAAGGGTTGATTGAACTTCTTTGAACATTTTAATCCTCATTACCATTATTCTAGCATTTATTTGCTTTCAGGAAACGTCATTTAATACCTGTAAAAATGTAAATGTGTTAGCAGTATAAACGTAGCATTAGTGCATACTTCAGATTTCTGTGGTTTAGTTCCAGCAAATTTATTTTAAGCAACGAAAACAAAGTCATCCTTTATAAAGTCTACAGTTAAACTCAATCACAAAATGCCAGTGATGGGACACAATATGCAGATCTTTAGCAAGTAGCAGAACAATATGAGGAGCACAGTCTAAAAGGATTATGCCTTGCTCTTTACATCACACCAGCCTAATTCAGATTTTTTGTTCAGATACAAGGTGAGAACAACTTTTGTGACTGGAAGTTCAATGAGCAACAAAATGAGATTTTATTCTGCAAGTTAAGTACACACCTTCCTAATCAACACAGAATACAATAATTTGAAGTGAGTGGGTGCCATGCAGAGCAGGGTGGCAGAACAGGCTGTGATGTTTTAGCAGCTCCTTAACTTATGCTCTCCCAAGCAGAAGTGGTCTTTCTCTGGTGAAAGAGAGCTGGGATGGGGAGCTCCTACTGGAGGACAGAAAGTGGAGGAGAAATAAAGGCCACAACATTGTTTGCTCCAGAAAGATTAATGTAAATACACTGAAACTGCCTTGTAGAGAAAGGAAAATACCTGAGTTTTTAAAAATTATTAAGAAAATGAAGTAAGGGAAAGTCGGAAGAGATCATACATGCAAAAGAGCTGCTGCTTATTTGCTTGGGTTTAGATTTATTCACTTTGTTGGATGGAAGTAATGCTGAGCCATAGGGGGAAAAAAAGATTATGTTCATTGCAAAGAGAGGAAATTATTAAATACCTTTAAGAATGAGAAAGTCATAGATGCTTAATGTAGTACCATTATTCAGGGATGAAACAGCAGAACAGGCATATTGAAGATTTACCGGAAGCAGTTCAATGAACTGAGAATACAGACAGGCTTTACTGGGTCACAAAAGCATGTCAAAAATACATATGGAGATTATAACTAAAATCTCTATTAAGTGGTAGTAATATTAAAAACCTATAAACTGAACTGGAAAAGGCTAAGAAAACAGCAAGCACATATAAAACAATAGAAAGTCAATCACCTTCTCATCCACATCGAACTGGGGAAGAAGCAACTCATAATGATCAGTGTAATTCATTAAGCAGCCCTTTCAAATCCCACAATTTATTTTGTCTCTGTAACTGTGCTGGTTTTGGCTGGAATACAGTTAATTTTCTTCACAGCAGCTGGTGTGGAGCTGTGATTTGGATTTATGATAGCAACAGTGTTGATAACACAGGGATGTTTTAGTTACTACTGACAGTGTCAAGGCCTTTTTTGCTCCTCCGTGTGTCCCAGCAGCGAGGAGGCTGGGAGGGCTCGCAGGGAGCTGGGAGGGAACACAGCCAGGGCAGCTGCCCTGGAATGGCTGCAGGGGTATCCCAGTCCATGTGCTGGCACACTCAGCCTATAAAGCTGGAGGAGGAAGGAGGGGATGTTCAGGGTGATGGCATTTGACTTCCCAAGTCACAGTTGTGTGTGTTGGAGCCCTGCTGTCCTGGAGATGGCTGAACGACCTGTCTGCCCACGGAAAGTGGTGAATAAATCCCCTTGATTTGCTTTGTTTGCATGTTTGACTTTCACTTTATCTGTCTGTATCTCAACCCAGAAGTTCATTCACTTTGACTCTTCTAACTCTCCTGCATTCTCACTCCCCTTAAGAGGACTGACTGAGCGGCTGCTTAGCTGCTAGCTGGGGTTAAACCACAGCAGGCACAAAGACTGATTTTTTTTTCAGCTTACCACTTTGATATTAGTAGGACTTAAAAATAATTCAAGTTTTTATTCAATGAACTGTTGACTAGTAAAAAATAATCCTTTTTGACCAAAAATTCTTTTCACATTCTGAAATAATTTCTTAACACAAATCTGGCTAGGGGAGAACTTTCCAACTTCTTTAATATCTTAATCAAGGTTTCATATATTTCCAGATTTGTATTTCAACCCCTTACCTAGATATGAGCTATGATTTCTGTCCTGTAGAATCTTCTCAAACACATGGCTTGGAAAGGTGGTGGCTCTGTCTGAAGACTCCTGAACTACTGTTCCACTCCAGTCATAGGCCCCAACTGCACCCAGCAGCAGAACATCCTTTAAAAAAATAAAAGTCTACATTTTAGAACTACCTGATTTAGAAAAAGTGTGAGCAAAGCTGAAGGTTCTGTGCATAATCTCCTACATCACTGTGTTTAAGGCAGTAAAGCCTGCAGGCAGCTGACTGGAGCTGCTCCTAGTTGCTCCCTACATGCAGGAGTTTACTGCCCCATTAAAAGGCATTATCACCCTTTGACTGCAAGAGGGTAAGTGACTGCTTTAGTTCCAGTGGCACTGCAACTCATGATAAAATGGGTTTATTTTAACACTGATCATTTCTTATGTCTGTCCACGCTGGGGTTGGGCTTACTAAGTCCATGCTTTTGTGCACCCATGATCCTCGTAAGACTGAGGATGACACAAATGCAGCTGTACAAAAAAGCTAAAGGTCCTTTTCTTGACAGCAAATGCGCCAATGACAGCACACAAAAGCTGATGTGAATAGGTATGGTTAATTCTTTATGAAAGATGTTCCTGAGAGAACAGTTAAATCTAAAATCCAAATTAGCATGGCTGATTATGCAGAATGCTTCATACAGAAACACTTATCTTGTACATAGAAAACAAACATAGTTTAGTTTATTCAAGTTATTAAAATTCTTCACTAAACTGACATACTGTTACAGAAAACTGCAATAAAATTGAATGTGTCATTTTCCTGATAAAATGCCCATATGTTTCTCTTTTTTTTTCCATTTCTTAGCATCAACTGCTTCATAATTCAAAACTTCAATTTATGCAAATACAAATGACTTATAAAAATTATTTTATTCATCTTTAAGGGTTATGAGAAAGAAACAACCTTCTTGTATTTTCAGTTGAAAGCTGATTGAACCATATTTGGATTTTACAAGGAGGACTTATCTGATAATCTTAAAATTTATTAGCACTAAAATATATCTGATTTTTTGGTTCTAATTTTTAAGTGAAATACACTTTAAACAAATATAATTAATTTTGTAATTTATAGAGAAATTATTTTCAGATTTGATTTATTTATATTTTGGTGGCTGCCTGCCAGCTTTACAATATAGCTAGTCACAAGGAGGAATTAAATTTTTCCTGCTACATGAACTCAGAAATCACTGAAATCATTGTATTAACACATCTCAAAATTAACACATGAAACAAATTACAATATAATTATACTTATTAATATATATTCAAGTAAAAAAAAATTAAAGGATAATTTGATATTCTGCATGTAAAATGTTCTTAAAATTGGACATTGTGTTTTTATTTCTCTTTTCTTACATTCATGTATATGTACATCTATTTGTATCAATAAATAATTAAACTCACATACCTTTTTCTGTGAGTAAGATGCACTGAAGCCCACCTGTGACATTTCCATTTGGAAAGTATCACCTTGATCAGTACCTGGTAAAACAGATAGGTATATATGGTTATCTCTATGTAACCACACAAAATCCAGTCTTGCTGCCTCTGAGTTTAGCTATATAGGGGCTGTGTATATCCACCAATTTGGCTAAAGCATTTACAAGCAATGGAAATCAGAGCTGGTAAACTGTAGAAAATTTGGAGGATTTAATGGCAAATTGATGAGATAGAGCCAAGAGCCATGCTATAAGTCTCTTCCAAGAAAAGGGCAGAAGATGATGGTCAAGATGGTTTGGATCAGTTTGCACAGACTTGCCATTGTGGTTGGTCCATTTTTGTGTTAACTAGGAAGCATTAATACCCTGAAATTAACAACTTTAATGACTGTATATTCACAACTTCCAAACAGAATAGAATTTTTTTACTTTCGTATAGGACTCCTAAACAACTGTTGCAATTGTCTTGAGAAATGCTGTGAGATCCATTTCCTAAGGTAGATGGATAGGAATTCAGTGGGAGTACTCAGTAAAAAGACCTATTCCCTTGCTTTGAGCAGCATCATGGGCCTAGCAAAGAATAAATTAAGGTGAAAGAGAAGGGAAGATTCCTTCTTGAGCACAGGAAAGTGGTAGACATAAGCTTCTTAGAGAACAGACAGCAAGTTACACACCTCCAAGGCAAGGTCTGAATTTAAGTTAAATTTAAAAGCTGGCTTTTGGGACAGCCAAAGTTTCTCTGTGTCACCTCTGCAACACCTTCCTCTGAGCAATACACAGGAGTGTGGGTGGTGCTAGGGAGGGGGCCTGACAGGCACTACACAAATTGCATTTTCAGTTCTGTAATAAGCAACCTAGTCTTCTAGTTCATTTTGTATGGGTTGTGGGTTTGGTTTTTTTATTGTGTTTTTTGTTTGTTTTGGGGTTTTGTTGTTTTTTTTTTTTTTTTGATGGTATGGCTTTTTTTTGTTTTGTTTTGAATTTAAAAATAGCTTAGGATTCACACAGGTGAAGCTCATAAGCATACAGACACCCTTATTCTCCTGGTAGTAACAAATATATTTGGTTGCATGTGGAAAAGTCCCCATGCCTGAAGCTCATGACATGACAGAAATTTTCATTAGCTGGGGAATGTTTTCTCCAAACCTCATAAATTAACTTAAGGTTCAGGCTAATTAGGGGTGGAGCAGCTGGGGGAACACCTGTGAAAACCAGAGGCCACCTGAGAACAGAAGAGCAGGCAGAAGCCTGCAATTCCAGCTACCCCTCATTTTCACAATACTGCACTAAACGGAAGCTAAATAAAATCCTAGGCTCATCAGCTGGGAGAATCAGATCTAAATTTTCAAGGACATTGAGCATTTTACCTTCTATACTAAAAATGCGTTCTCCAAGCGTTCCTGCTTCTTCCAGTAGTGCAGCCTCAGATGACACATTGAAGAAATACTTCTCTGTTGGGTGACTAGCAATTCCCTTGATTTCTTTAATTAAGTTTTTAGTGTCAAGCTCATGCCTTATTAAGTATCCCAAAACCTTGTGTAAAGAAACAAACAAACAGCAAAATAAGAGGAGAGAAAGAGAGATCATGGTCCTACTCCATTTCTTCCTGTATTATTTTAGCAAATATTCTACATAGTTTAAAAAAAGTTACCTTGTTCATATTACTGAATTGCTCATTAGAGTTCATTCCTATGCAAAGGACCATTCAGATAGGAAAAGCATATAAGGCCTGACAAGGGAGAAAATCACTGAAGTTGCTCAGGCAATTAAATTGCTTTTTCAGCCAGTGAAAAGACCAGTATTTCCCTCAGTTCAGAGGATTAATTTGCCTTTGCTTCAGTCTCACCAATGTAACAATGTGTGCATTACATACCACTTTTGTATAGAACTTGTAGATGACACATACATAGCAAAACAATCTTTCAAACATGAAGTAATGTATAATTTCAGAATTACTTACAGCAATGCCAAATCTGGTTATATTGTCTTCATTGCATTTACCTATCACTGTTTTCAGTCTGGAGCCATCATGTGATTCACCGTCTGTCACAACAACCATGACCTTTGTGGCTGTCGGGCGTCCTCCCGACTCAGCTGAGAAGGCATACTGTCTGTTATAAAACATTGGGTTTATCACACATCAATCCATCATGGATGGAATCCAGCACATTCACTGTAATGGATATGTCCATCACTGAATTAGAACAAGTTGGTTCTGTAGTGCATAAGAAATGTAACCAAAGAAGCAGAAAAAAAAAAAAAGTAGGACTGGAAGGACTGGGTGGTGTTTCTGATAAAAATGTAAATTCCAGGGAAAACAGTATTTTTTTTTTTGGTACAAATATTTCTAAATGAAAAGGGGATTGTATCAGAACTATTAAAGTTTTACGACACCAGGAATTGGCATCATCAAGCTCATACAAAAATGGAACAGAATTAATAATAGGCTTCTCAATAGTACTGCAAATATTGACTCCACTGACAGCTGAGCCTGTTTCCTAAACCAAATTCTCAAGTTCATTTGATTCAGCATGTATTTTGGCCTACCGTTCTGTACTTCATAAAACTTCAAAACAGGACCTTCTTGTTGAGAAATCAATTTGGTTTGTATATGTATTCCGAGTCATTAAACACTGGTTTAAATTTTCCCTGTTGTTTTCACATTCATGGTGCTGCAGTGATAAGCTGACAACAGACAAGAGATTTTATTTTCTCTGCAATCAACCAAAGCCTGATCTGCAAACACAAATATTACTGGGCCCACCGAATCCCTGGATAAACTTTGCTTCTTTCAGTGCTTTGTATCTTTCCCAAAACCTTGTCCACTCTGACGCACTGTCATGTTTACAGATCTGTGACATAACAAGCAATTCTAGTTGGGTGCTAGAATTCCTTTAGAGTACAGTTGAAGCCAATGGTTAACAATATGCTTTTCAGCAATTCTAGTTTACATATTCCCATACCAGTCTGTATGGGACACTGTAAATGTACCTGATGGATTCTGCCTAGTGCTGGGAACCTACTCCAGAGGCCCTGGGCACATGGACTTCCAGTGGGAATCAAGTCCAAGATGTTCTCATTGCCATGTAAGGTAAGTTACAACAGTTGCACAGTAGATCATCAATGCATCTCACCTGGCATTATCAATGGCTTTGAAAGTATTAGTGAGATCTCCTCCCTTCTGAGATGTTTTCTCCATTGCTTTAACAACCTCATCCTTGGTTTGATATGTATTCAAGTTGAAGACTACTCGGGGATCATTCGCGTACTGAATTAGACCCACCTATGCAATAAAAAAAATGGTGTTAGATTATGATGATTTACAGTTACTTACATAGAATCATGGTGCTTACTTATTATGCATCAGGTTGGTGTAAAAGGTCTGCAAATGCACAGTTCTCTTTCAACACATATAAAACCAATTAATATTAACACATTTGAAAAGCAAAGAAAGCTAAAATGCTCTTGCACTTTGTATCATTTGTTATGGACTACAGTATGTTACTGCAAATGATCTGAAATAGTAGACATTAAATGTTTGCTTGGTTACTTCTGGAAGGGCTGATGGATAGCAATAATACAAGGAGCTCTGGGAAAAAAGAGAAAATAGCAACAGTTCTACAAGCTGACAACACCTCAGTCTGATCTCTTCTAAGGAAGTCCTAGAGGTTAGTTACTTTACAGCACTGCAAACCCTACTTGTTTTTAATATAGGTGAAGCTAAAGATGTAAGATAAGATGTGCATTTAAAAGGAAGGCAAAAAAAAGAAGATGCTAAAGGTGAGGTTCAGAAAGAACTGAGCAGGAAGCCTAGCTTTTAAGCACCTCACTTCCAAAGTAGCCCAAGGAAGAAGGCAGCCTTTGGGAGAGAGATTTCCAGTGCCTCAGTCTTTGTTCTCAGAACTGTTTAGGGAAAATGGACAACTGTAAAGACAGAAGATGTTTAAAACAAAAAATGCAATAAAATTTTCCTTACCATCATCAACTCAAAAAGAAAAAAAAAAAAAAAACAAACTCAAAGATCAGTGAGTAAACCGGCAGGAAAAGTTCCTGTTTTAAAGATGCAGCAGTTGGAAAGTAAGAGTTGTATGAAAAGTCCATTAAAAGTCTGTTCTACTTTTATCACATCCCCAAAGGCTATTTTCAACTACTTTTACATCTATTGTGTGAAAGAGATCTGACTCCCCTAGATACAACATAGACTTCTATTTCAGTTAATTTAGATTTTGGACCAATGACTAATTCCTTTTGAAATAGGATAACCATGAGATAAAATTCCCAACATTGAGTAGGATAACTGTGTAATCTGTGGCTTTGAGTGAGGTACTGTAGTTACACAAAATCACGCTTAGTTTCCTTTAAAATTGTTTGGGTTTTTTTGGTCTTTCTCAAATATGCCTTTGACTTACCTGGGTCTTGTTAACGCCTATGTCTAAGCCTTGGACAAATTTTTTCAAAAATGCCCGCACTGCATCCCAGGGATAAATGCTGTTTGACTCATCACAAACCACCACAACATCTATAACAGAGGAACACTCTAAAACAAAAATAAGAAGTGGACATTAAATGCATTTCGAATCTCAGTATACTCCTCAGCTAAATCCAGAGGTGCATATTCACATAGGCAACACTTCAGATCAGGAGGCTTTGCCAGAATGAGGACTCAATAAGAGCATATGGAGGTTTCAAGCCTGCGCTGGTGTGATGCCTTTGAATACAGAGGACTAAGAGCACATTTACATCAGCATCAGAGCACAATTATTCAGCCTTTACATACAGATCCCAGGATTTTGCTTTTAGCACATACCTTTTTTTTTTTTTTTTTTTTTTTAAGAAATCAAAATGAACAGTCCCCAACACACAGTTATCTCTTGATTTTGTTTGATATGTTTGGTTTTGGTGTTTTTTTTTTTTTTAAATTGAATGTATTTTGTACATGTTGCCTTACTTTGAACAGCTGGAGAAAAGCTTCTTAAGATCTCAAAACTTGGACTGATTTCAGAACAAACTCCTGTTGCATAGTATTGTCTTCCACACTGCTGTGCCCACAAGGGACCACAAGTCTTGAAAAAAATAACAACAAAAAGAAACAATAAAAACAACAAATACTTGTCTCATCTATACACAAAACCGCCTCAAACAGGACGACAGGCGTATAGGACCAGCGAAGCTCTCTGGGGTTACGGGGCCAGCCAGCGCCGCCCTTTCACACAGTTCCCCACGGAGAGGAATTCCTGCCGGGGGTCCCACGCCCATCCCGCCCACCCGCGCTGCAGCGACAACGGCGGCCGCCAGGTGGCGGCAGCGCCCCGCGCAGGCGGGACCGGGGGACGCGCGGCGGCGCCGAGAGGGGCGGGCAGGGAGCCGGGCCGGGAACCGGGAACCGGGGCCCGGGACCCGAGCGGGGCGGGCAGGGAGCCGGGCCGGGAACCGGGACCCGGGACCCGAGCGGGGCGGGCAGGGAGCCGGGCCGGGAACCGGGACCCGGGACCCGAGCGGGGCGGGCAGGGAGCCGGGCCGGGAGCCGGGCAGGGAACCGGGACCCGAGCGGCGCGGGGGGCCGATAGCTCTGACCCCTCCGAACCCTCGTCCCACCGGGAATTCACCTGGCATTCCGGGGATAAACTGCACCATTCCCCGGCTGGCGGTGAGCACTGTCTCACTCGCCTACCCCAGCGGGAGAGGTCTGCCCCTGGGCGCGCATCCCCCGCTACGTGTTTCGTTGGCTTTGGGGGAAAATGACCCTGCTTCGCTGCTGGAAACAACCTCTGTAAACTGCAGTATTTTCAGCTGGCTCAACCTGCTGTTATTTACGTTTTATACATCTTTATACGTACTGATATCAACCACGTATCAAGACGGTATCTTGCCGTGAGAATGTAGGGGGAGGTGTGTGTGTGTTTGTGTGTGTGTGGGTTGAGGTGGCGAGTTGGTGGGTGTATTTCCTTCTTAAGAGAAAACATTATAAACTCCAGGAAATAAATATAACCTCTACATAACCTCTCTCCAACCGGTCTGTGAGAAATTATAGTTTCCTTATATATACACTCTGGTTGCACCCACCTTTACTTAGGAAAAAAGGGACTTTTCTCAAGAATACTAGAGGGCAGAAAAAAGCAATTAAATTCAAAAATAAGTCGAAAATGAGCTAAATCACCCACTTGGTTTCCCAGTGAGAGACAACATCAAACCATCCTAAGATATTTGACCAGATGGCAGATTTTCTAGATGAGAAAGGAAGTATATCCACATTATCTGATCTTGAGATAAGTGCTTTTTTTAGCTGCTACACAAGGCATGGTTAGTTCTTACTGAAAAAGACAGATTTTTAGAGGTGAAAGGCACAAAATAAATCATCTATACGAAGCTGGAGGACGGTTACTGACTGGCCTTTAAAATTAATTTAAAGTTCTTTTTAGATCAGTCTTATTTGCCCATTTTCTAACTTTTTTTTCTTTTTTTTTTTTTTTTTTTTTGTTTTTTTGGTTTTTTTTATATTGGTTGTAGTTCAAAACTGTGATGTTAGTCTTGGAGCAAAATGCAAAAATGTTCTAATAATCTTTTTTGACCTTCAGAGGAACAAAAATGGGGGAAAATTAATGTTCTAGCATTGCTTAAGTCAGAAATTTAAGATGCATCATTACTGAAGGGAACATCACGTATCAAGGACAGATGAACTTGAAAGGCAGAAAGTTATAAAGGGACGGAGACTTGCCCTTCAGGACTAATATTAAGAAATGTGGGCATAGACTGGAAGGTCATTAAATGGAAGGGAGAGAAGCAGATGGATCAGGCACTGGATGACTGCAGGGTATCTGCAAGCATGCAGCCAGCGTGCAAAACAAATATGGCTTAAAGATGTGTGACAAGAAGCTGTTGAGTTGGGGAAATACCAAATATATTGTATAGTGCCTGGGAAAGACTCATGCGGAATGCAGCAGAGACCTGGTCACTGATGCTTGAGAGAGACGTATTTTAAAAAGAACATTTCAGCCAAAAAAACTCTATTTGTTTAGCAAGACAAAGGAGAAAGGTGGTTGTGGGCTGTCAAATAACGAAGGGAGATTTTACATGCAGGGAGATGAGAGCTGCTTCTTTCAACTAAAGGCACAGCACTGCTCAGTAAACAAACTTGATAAAAATATAGATGGGAAATCCAGAAAAAACTTGTTAACCATCAGTGAAATTCTTCAGCACCTCTCCAACAGGACTAAGCATGCCTCACAAAAATGTAATGAGCATGTGGGAAATGACTGCCCTGCGCTGAGAACACCTGTGGGAAGCAATCCCCTGGCATCAAACAGCCAAACCAGCAGCACTGGGAGCTGCAGCACAGACATGCCAGCCTGGGTCACGCTCCCAAGCCAGAGAGCCCAGGGACTGAGCACGCAGCACAGACTGGGGCAGGCAGATGGAGGCTCAGAGAGGCCGCAGGAGGAAGGAGAAGAGTGAGGCGGGAGGAGGAAACCCTGAAATAACCCACAGAGCCCATCACGGAGGCCGGCTGCCACAGACAAGAGTTTTGGAGCAAAGTCCCAGCTGGAAGCAGCTTGCAAATATGAGCAGGCTGTCCATGCATGGGGTTCAATACCTGCCACAGCTAAACCATGGGGCTTTTGGTATTTGTTGAGGCTGAGTCACAGATAAGCACTTGTCTCCACAACCTTGTTCTCCTTATGTCAAAAAAGAACTGCTGTTGATTAAAACGTGACTTGGAGTCTAATGTTTTAGAGTTCAACTGGCTTTTTGTGTTGTTTTTTTTTTTTAGTTCTTTTTTAAATCCATGCAATTCAGAGAGAATCAATCAATAACATGCAGATCAGGAAATACTTTTTAACTGAGAGAGGTTCAAATATTATTAGAAAGTACAAATTTCCCTTCATGAGATATTTTTAAACACTGCAGTTACTCATAATGACTGAAGTGGGTATGCACAGGACATTAACAGTAATTGAAAGTACTACTCAAGAGAGAGAATAAGATTTTTTTAATCAAAGCCTTTTCAAGCCACAAGTCAAGAAAATTACTGTATTTTGAAGTTATGAATTACTTTACTAATTCCATGAGAACTTCTAGAAAGGTTGGAATTAGGCATACTTCTAACTACTTCAGTAAACTGAACTACATGTTAATGAATATAATAAATACTTGAATACTTTTGTGATTAGGAAGATGCAACAAAAAATACAAAACTTAAGGACAGCCTAGAGCTCTTTTCTCTGTATTTTGTTGTTTTACTTATGTACTGCACATGGCTACATCAAACTGAAATACACCTACACACCAAGAGTTTTCATGCTTATGATTATAAAAAGGCATGTTAACAGGCATGCACTTCCCTTCAAGTAAGAATTGTATTTTGCAAGCTCCAAGGACAGTGGTTTGTGAAATCTACACCGAGAAAATGCATTCTCTTCCAAGCTCACTAACCAAATAAAACACATCACAAATCCAAGGGATTAGAAATACTGATATCTCAGGAGAAGAGTGCCAGTGCAAGTGTGAATGATAGAGATTATATAAAGTCCATTGAAAGCACAAACAGAACTATACAAGGCTGCCTTAAATGATTTAATGGTGGAAATATTCTTGCCTATATTGTCTGACTTAAATTACTGAGACATTAACTGGATAAGATGTTTAGATAAACAACAAAGGGGAGACCTCACAATTTTTCCTACATTAATGATAAATTTCACAATTTATTTTGGACCCTAGGTAATTGCAGTGGGATGTACTAATCCATGATGCATAATAAAATACATTTAGCCTGGACTTATGAAAAAATGTGGAGAATTCTGGTTTCTTAATTCTCTTCAGAAGTTTCTGTGTGTACTGCATATGATCTTGATACATACCAAAAATCCTCCAGTTTTTGAGTTCTGTATCAGAGTCAAGCCAAGGTTCATGTCCTTTTTAATTTCAGTCACATTTGGAATATTTATTAAAGCTGAAATAAAATTAAATTAGGTAATGACAGAATAATAAATAAGATGTAGAAGCAATTTACTAAGTTAGATTTCATTCCAAAAACTTGATTTTTCATAATCTAAGGTGCCTTTTCCGAATGGCTGCATACAATTCTGAGACAAAAGAAACAAAAGCCAATCTTTGGGGGAAAAAAATGCTAACCATCAAATACAGACATCAGTATAAATGGTCATTAAGTATGGCCATTGAGAGTATCTGCCCTCAAGAGAGCTGAAGGCAAAAGAGAGGAAGAAAAAAAAATTACCTATTGCATGTTTTTGGCTGGCTGAATAGCTGCAGCTGAGTAGCTACTGTTACATTCCTCAGGACACCAGACTCCTCTGATCCAGTATCAGGCTTTAGACAAAAAAACTGGAAGGGGCAGTGGAGGGCAGAAATTATCTGCACCATAAATAAACACAGAGGAGGCATCTCAGCACAGCCTGCTGCCTCATATTTTCACTATATCCAAACCTGAGCTGCATTTGATAGCTAGCTGGCAAGCACAGACACACACCCATATCTGGTTTAGGGAGGACAGGGACAGGCACCCGCCCTGGATGCCAGCATGGAGCCCTGTGCCCACCAGCCAGGCTTTGGGACCCACAGTGCTCCTGCCCCTTGGCTGGAGGGTAAAGACCCCAGGTGCTCCAGTGGGTGAAACCCAAACCTCAGTGCCTCCAGCAGCTGGCACCACCTGGCCTGAGTCCAGTGGCAGGCACCAATTTTTGCTCAGACAGACACGTCTCAGCAGCACTGAGGCCCTGCAGCACACACATGCCTTCACAGAACCTGAGATTATGCAGACAGCTAGTTATGTAAAGTTTTAATAAGGTAGATTTGCCTCGTACAAACACAAGGGAAAACTGAACAAGTGCAGCAAGACACTGTTAGTCAGAACGTACCTTGTAAATTCAATTTTTTACATGTGCTTTTGGACACACCAACAGGACATGCGTATATATCTCCAGTTCTGTTTGCAGGATAGCCACTCCAGGGGGAACCAACCAACAACCTAAAGGAAAAGGAATTTCATTATGTCCTTAATGATACTGAAAAAGTTCAGCAGCAGCATTGCATGGCTCACTATAGGTAACAGGAAGAGAGGCTTCCAGGAGCACCCAAAGCATTCAGGTGTAGGAGTCTTCTCCAGAACTGTTCAGAAGCTTTACTTGCATGGCAATACACTGCACTGGATTCACCAGAGACAGTTTTGGTGGAGAAGAAGAACAGGAGAGCCTTTGGTGATTCATCTGCCTCCAACACGTGTATCTTTTAAAATGTGACATTATGTCACAGGTCAGAAGAAATACAGTGAAGGTACTCATATATATATAGACACATAAAAATGTACAAATATGTATGTTGGGGATCAAGATACATATTACTTATTGTTCTATCAGTTAATGGCTAACTGATTCCTTTTAGGTTATTATTTTAACTGATAAGAAGCATTATCTACAGGATCTGCTCAGCAACAATAAAATCCTTATGTCTGAGCTTGAGCACTACCACACCTTGATAACACTGAGTCAGAAAGAAAATACTGAAGCTGGTAACAATCTGCTGCACAAATTCTGTAATCCTGAACAAGAAAGTTAATACTTATGATAATTTTGCCTGCAACACAAAGTGATTCATGTTCTCTGACTCATTTAATCTGCCATAAGGTTCCCCCCAACATCTGCTCCTCAAAACTCTTCATTTTTATCTGAAAGCTTTCACAAAACTGTTTAGTTCACCTTCTTGGAATACTGCTTAAGAACACCTATCTTTCATCAGAAGTCTCTAAATGATGATCTCGATGGTTATTAAAAATAAAGCAGATTATTGAAAAGCAGGGACTATGGGTATTTGCTCCAGCAGCAATATGACTTTATTTTCAAACAGAACAATCCATGGCAGTAAGCAATCCATTTTGGAGAGTGTACAAAGACAAGCAATGGGGCCCCAATACAGAATACTGAATTAAATTAGAAATCATATTTTTTTGGTCCATCAATAGGTTGTTTAAAGCAAAATTGCTACTCTCTAAAATTTTATAGATAGCTAACACAAATATACCTTGTGCTATTAAAAAAAAATTGTGAAATTATTATATTTTAAAGCAATTTCTACATATATTAACTTCCTAGGGATCATCTGCTTTTACTGCTGTGATGTTAGTTTGAATAAAATGGTTAGGACAAAAAGTTTTGGATGCACATGAAAGAGTTTTAGACCTTTCTCACTGGCTCAGAGAAAATACTGCTAAACTGCAGTTTCTTTTTTAAGTTTATTTCACCTCAATTAAAAACAAATAACATTATTTTATCAGTGCAGCTGGGTGTTTGGTTTCATATTCTCTTTCTTTTGTGTCTGGATATTTTAAAAATGCCTAACTCCTTCTCAATTACCTTGTTGGAAAAGGGTGATCATGCAGGCAGCAGGAACAGGACTTTGTGTTCTTCTCGCATCTCTAAATATGCAACTTAGCTTCATACAAACACTCTATCACAACAATTGCAGTAGTTGTGAGGAGGCCTCTGATTTTCTTGTTATTTTATGAGTGCTTCTGGACCTTTTCAGCACAGTGAAAACCAGAACTGCCACTGCTCAGGACCAAGTAAACAGAGCTCATAAGCAGCTACTGCACTGGTCATGTGCCAACAGATAACATAATCTGCAAATACTTGCAGTAACACGGAGGGCTGGAGCTGGTCAATAGTGGGAGGAAGAAGGAGGAAGACATGGTGTTACACTCTCCTACCTTGCTAGGTACTATTGAGTTGGGTACGGGCATAAAATGCTAACTGGGCTGATGGGAGAGAAGGGTTAGGAGTTTTTGTGGAAAGAGGAAACAGCTTTAAAATGACTGGCAACACTGCGTGTGCAATATCTGAAACTGGAACAGCTTTCCAGCATTAACTGTCAAGCTGAACGTTGCACTGTGTACATTTATAAACACTTGCATCTTTTTTTTTCTAAGTTTCCCAGAAGACAAACATATTTCAGTGTCCTTGCAGGATGATAGCTACTGTTCAGAGAATGGCCTTGTATTTTGGAAATACCCACAGCAACTACTCCCATCTAGTCATGAAACTCACTGTGAATCTCTGTACTGTGCTGGCACAGCTCTGCAGCCACAGGTTTTCCTGAGAGCCCAGAGCGCACAGTTTCACTCACAAGAAGAGTGAGTGAGAAGAAGGAGAAGAGAGGCATGCTTGAGCACAAGCTGACCTCAAATCCAAGCCTAACCCTAGCTAACTCCAAGCTCTATTGGCAGAGAGAGAAACATCATCCCTGATCTAGCATTTATTTGCTAAAAGCTGTTCTCTCATTTTTAAGCATGCATACTTTTGCTCATTCCATGGGCATTATTTGCCTCCCAATTTCCCTGCCCTCAACATTAACTGCAGTCTAGACATCCGCTTATACCAAGGAACTATGACTTCTCAAACTTGATATTCACAAAATAATTTTACTTTTGCTACCCCTGAAACTAACCTTGAGGTTGCTGCATGGTGCAAACAGGAAAATGTAAGACAAAACAAGATGAACTTTTCTCATTTTAAATCCAGATTTAAATCTATGCCAAATAAAAAAAAAAATTAATTTTGTCTTTCAGTTGTCTTGCACTCTTCACAGTTTGCTGGGATTTATTTTATTAATTTATTTTTCTGCATTCTTTGAAGATCTGCAGTCTGTGAATCTCAATGTCATACCTATATTGCAGGCCAAAAAATGCCACTCCGTACACTGAATTCACACTTAGAACTGTTACTGATGGTGATTTCAGAAATGAACAGAGCAATTAAACCCGTCGCATTATTTGACTTAACTAGTCTAACTGTCATCAATACATGCCTGAGAAAAAATTATTAACTGACTTATGCCAAGCTTAGCCCTCTACTTTTGCCAGCCTTAAAGGAAGTAACATAATTCTCTAGGAAGTAACATAATTCTCTAGGAAGTAACATAATTTCTATTTCTTTTGTATTCTTTGCCTTACTTAATATTTAATACCAGCCTTAATCTACATAAGAAATCAGAAAGTCCTACTTGCCTTTCAAAATTAACATAAACCATTACAGTAGGGAGTTACACAACACTGCTCTGGGAAAATCCATGTGTATCTTTCTGAAACATCAGAAGTGAAGACAGCAAGAGAGTATCTGGCTAGCATCCTGCTAACGACAAATTTTTTTACTGTAATTAGACAGGATACATGAGACAAAGCGAAACGGAATATATCAGGAAAGAATGCAAGAAAGCAGTACTAAAATACTTGAAAATGCTTGTTTCCAAATAAACTGTAGAATGTATAATGTATTAATTAAGGCTCTTTTTCAGCTACGAGTTAAATATTTATTTTTACAAAACCTCTTTACGTATCCTTGCAGACCATCTTTACAAAATACTATAGTGAGTATAATGTAATATTGCTACTGCTCTTATTATTCATCTCCCTAATCATGTTCCGACACTGTATACAAAGCAATGGCACTAGGAAGTCAAATGAAGTTCAGCAGCAATGCCTTACCACACAAGCTGCAGGAGTGGCAGATCAAAGTGCAACAGGAATTCTGGGAAATTACACCATGACAAAGCTAGTAATCAGCAAACTGTGATGTAGCAGAAAGCAAAATCAGAATTCATAGTAAAGGGCTGAATTCCCAGCTGTTGTCAGAGCATGTTTTGTATTTTCCAGTTTCTTTACTTTTTTTCCCCTCTCTTCTCATGTATTTGCTTTTTATTGTGTTGTGTTGTGTTTTGTTTTCTAAACACGAAGATGGCTAATAGGAAAATAAGAGTAGAAAGAACCTCTTATATCATCTGGCCTTTTTCCTACAATTACAGGAAGTGGTGAGTAGATATGAAGATCAGAAAACTCTTCACGGTCATAGATCCTTCTCTGCACACACTAAAGCACTTCTCACCATCTAAAACTTTTGATCCTTTCAACAATAATCAAAAAGCTATGGCAAGAGAGTTTGAGTGACAAACTCAGAAGTCCTAGAAAAAAGCAGCCAGAACTTCTCCAAGCAGGAAAAGGGCAAACTGTGGTGCATGCAGTTAGGGAAAACAAAACTGGGTAAAGAACTCAGCTTTAGCAGTGATTCTGGCACTGAAAAGAGAGATCTGCAACAATGGCAGCTTCTGTTAGGAGAAAAAAAAATCAAAAAATTGCTCTCATCCAAAGAAATGGCCTTCCTCATTAAAATCTTCTTCAACAGAAGTTCATACAGAAATGTGTCTTTTTGGCAAAATATCTTACTGGTCTGAAGAGGCCGCACCGAACATGAGGAGAAAGGCCACTATATTTGGTGACCAGTGAGCAGTAGGCAATGATTTTTAAAACTACTTTTGGTAGTGCAATAATTATAAGATGCACCAGTAAGTGCACTGTATATTGTGTCATTACTGACATGTGAGATGAAACAAAATATTTTAAAATAAAATCCCACAATACAAATTCAAAACCAAAATAATTTTAAAAATTGCAAATTCTAAGCACACAAACATAGCTGAGCATATGTCTGAAGACACATGTGTGTAGGAAAAAGCATTTCACAGCTATCTACAACTACTTCAATCTTCCTCATCTGAGACAGCTATAAAACCAACTCTCAGCATGGAGTAAATATGGTTATCTCTGAAGAGTATACTGTCAGCTGCTCAGGGAATGCACATTCAAGACGAACTTGATAGAGTGCAATCTGGCTTTCTCAAAGATTATATTTATAAAATAACAGAAATTTTAGTTTCCATTTAAGATTCAAATGCAGATGACATCTTGACAGAGAGAACCACAACATAAAGTGAATTATGTTTCTGTGGTTGCTAATTACTTGTGTGGTAAACTGCTTTTCTAATTGGTGAGCTCCTGTTTTAAAATTCTGACCAGCATCTGTGAAAAGCTTGAGCTGTGCAAGTTTGCAAGTTTGTCCTTATTTATGAGCATCACATGCCATCAAGGCTCATCAATGCACAGCACATTAGTGCCGAGTTATCCTGGATCGTCTGTCTAACACAAGAAGTCTTACTTGTGTTTGTGTCACAAACGTGTACCAGACTCTTCAATAGTCCTTCATTCCCTTTTGGACTGTGTTCCCTGTTCTCTCTGAACTCATCTCCAAGAAAAGTAACAATTCTGCAAAAATTCTCTCTTTATAATTTCTTTTGTTCTTACTGCCTCAGGAGATGCACCTCCCAGAAATACTGCTGAATAATATAACTGGCATCTGCTGTATTTCTGTAGCTCTCCTTTCTACTCTTTGAGTACAGGAGGTTTTTTAAAGCTATATTTTATATAGCACCCTGTGAACTTATTAAGCAAAATCTAGGAAGTGATAAAACTTCTGGTGGACCTCAGATTCTGGATAACCTCTTCTGGGGAGAGACGGCACCCCAGCAGCACATGGTGCCATGAGCAGCCCCATTCTCTGTGCCTGGACAGAGTTTCTGATACGTCACATTCTTGCTGCACAGTGACCATCTCTTCACAAAAGCATATGATGATAAATGCTCCCCTCAGACAGAAAAATCACCCTGATCTTACCTCAGACTGTTTATCTTGTTCCCAGTTCAGCCATGTCAACAAGAATTCAGCCTCCTCATTGCTCATAGGAGAAAACAACTCTACTGAACAACTTGAAAGAGATAGAATGTTCTGTTTGGGTTGGGGTTTATTTTTTGTCTGTTTGGTTGGGGTTTTTTTGTTTTGGGTTTTAATTTTTTGTGTTTGTTTGTTTTTTAATAATGCATACAAGATAAAGCTCTATTGTTCCAAGAAAAAGAAAGCAGCCTAGAAATTAAGAGAACAAGACAGTAGAACATGACTCACTTTTTTTTTAAGCTTGCCTAATGATTTGTTGATTGGAAGACTGAAAAGCGCTTTTCTTCACTGAAGAGCCTCTAACAAATCCTAGTTATTTGAACACAGGCTGATAAAATTTCCCTGCTTTTTGGAGATAGGTCAGGCACCATGCTATGAAAGAACTAATGGTGAAGTGCCTCCATACAGAAAAGTTTACCAGATTCAAAATATTCATATATTTAAGAGAAGATTGGTTGAACTCCATGGTCATAAAGGTCTTTTCCAACCGAAATGAGTCCATGATTCTGTAAGGTAGGAAAAGTTAAACTAAAGTTACTTCTTTTTTCCTTCTATCCAGCACACATTATCCAAGAAAGTGATAGTGGAGGAGTTTTTATATTGGAAGCAAAACTAAAAGAGGGAAATATAAAACATGAATGGCTTATATGGATCAGGCAGCTATTGCTTCTTCTGCAAGCTTTCAGAAAAACTCACTAGAAGTACAAAACACAACAATTTCTCTACATATGAGGCAAAAACGTTCAATTCAGTACAGGCACACATTGTTGTTCTCCTTCAATGGCTTTACATAGACATTGGGGGGGGGTTGAAGTTGGGGGGGGGGTTTGGTTGCTTTTTTTTTTCTTTTAAAGAGATCTCTGATCTACGGGTGACTAAACACCTAATTAAAGCAGGCAGAAATGCAGTGAGAAGCCACCACAGCACCAGATGAAGAGTGGGGGTAGGCTGGAAGCCTACTCAGCTGAGGGAAAGGAAATGTCAAGGTTTTAGCTCTGAGGCCACAGCTCGGCTCTCGTGTCGCTGTGTCTCCTGGTCCCTGGAAGCACGGAGCGCTGAGCATCGGGGTGTGCGTCTGCGGGTGCAGCAGCGCCGTGCCCCTGAGCAGCGCCGCCACAAACCTCTCAGCTGCCTCAGTGACTCTGTGCCGGCTCTTCCAAACTTCAACTGCAAAATACGTCCTCACGTGCGACGTCTTATTTTCTCTTTACTGAAAAAAGTGCAGTTGCTGAGGGCGTTGTCAGGAAAGCAGAACTGCCAGTTTGTGGCTGTTTGGGTTCTGACACAATTCCTGTCCACGGAGGATGACCGGTCTGAAGTGTCTCAGCGTGCCATGATATGTACAGTCTGGTGTGGCCTTCTGCTCTAGACTTAAACCCGTGTACACACAAACAGCCACTGAAGAGTCCAGTAGCTCTCACCTGCTTTCAAAGACTTACAGTCCTTACACATAAAGACACCTTAAGATTTGTGCCTGCTGAGGCTGTAGAAGAGGAAACAATGTCTTCCACTAAATGCACTTACTCCTGATAATATGGTTCTTGAAACCAACATTACTAGGAAAAAATATTTTAGTAATTGCTCATCAAGCCAAATGTTGTGGCAACAGTGGATTTCAGGTCAAATTTTGTGGCTGAAGAAATGTAACAAACAATATTTTGCCCTATGATTGTGTTATCATAAACATCCAAATACACCATCTCTTGTAAAGCAGTTAGTACTGTACCGGAGACAAAATTATATCCCTTTAATTTTAATATTTATAATTTTAGGTTTTTTATTTATAATTTTATATATATATATATATATGTGTGTGTGTGTATATATACTCTTATATATATATATATTTATGTTTATATATAATATTTTTAATTTTTAATATTTATAATTTTGTAGTTTAATTTTAATGTTAATAATTAGAACTCACTAGACCTCATAATTTGTTTTGACCTTAACCATGCTAAAATGGAAAAATATCCCACATATATGTAAAGAGTAACAAAGATGCTCTGGGTACACAAAGGAATGAACTGCAAGTTAAAATTACAGAGAAACTGTAAGCCTAAGGAAATTAGAGTATTGGAGATTAAGTAAAATATTATCACAAGAAAGACCTCGGGTCACATGATGTTAAGGAAAAAAGTGTGAACCATCACATGCACATACTTTTAGTATATCTTAGCTTTTGGTTTAATGACATTAAGTATTTATTTGTAAAAAGATAGCTCTAATATAAAAAAAAAATTAGCCAGAATCCCTTTAAATGAGGTGTGGAATTATAAAATAAATATTAAGAGTTGTACCATTTTTTACTTAACCTTTTAGCTGGACACAAAACAACCCATTCAAACTGCTTACCATTTGCCTTGTTCATTTATAAACTGTTGAACTGAATATCCAAACTGCTCTCTTCGTGGACCAGAAAATATTTTTGCTTCCAAGAGCCCAACATTGTAGGCTTCACAGCAGTTATGAAGAATGCCTGTTAACAGAAAGATTATGATTACAACAGCAATTGTAATTAAAGCAGAATTAAAGCAATTAAAGAAGAATTTTGATCCCAGTGAAAAAGGCTCTTCATCTGCGTCAGCTCCCCCAACAGAAGAAAATAAATACAGCCGTTGACACATGCTTGAAAAAACAGTGATTTTGCCACAATACCCTGGCCATACGAAATGCGTCTCTGGCACTCTTTATGTGTGTTGTATTACTGTGGGCAGAGATCAGTGACTCATTCACTGTTTGCCTTAACAAAAGTTGCAGCATTACTAATGGGAATGTTTTAGCTGAATAGAGGCAAAATGTATGATTCAGAGGTCTGTTATCCTCTTTACCTTCAGGCATAAGTTAAGCTTATGGCATAGCAAACACATCAAGAGCCTGCTGAGGTGCACTAGAATCACAGAATCTTTTAGGCTGAAAGAACTGTGCTCAACCACTGCCAAGTCCACCAACAAACAATGTCCCCAAGTGCTACAACATCCATCATTTGAAAACTTTCAGGGATGGTGATTCCACACTTCCCTGGGAAGTGTGCTTCAATACTTGATAACCTTTTCCGGGAAGAAGTTGTTCCTAATGTTCAGTTTAAACGTTCCCTGGTGCAACCTGAACTCATTTCCGTTTGTGCTATTGGTTGTTACCTGGGAAAAGACACTGATCCCCACCTGCCCACAGCCTCTTTTCAGGCAGTTGTAGAGAGTGACAAAGTCACCCCTGAGCCTTGATCTGCAGCAGATCAACAGTTCCACCACCCAACTTGGTATCACCTGAAATCTGACTGAGGATGCACTCAATCCCCTCATCCAGGCAATGGAGGTATCAAAGCAGAACTGAGCATTAGAACACTGCCTGTGACTGTCCACCAGCTAGGTGCAGCTCCATTCACCTCAACTTTTCATGCTTAAACAAAATGCCCTGACTGTCTGTACCTGCTAATTCTGTTTATATTTGAGTTTGCAGCACTGGAATAAAAATGAGATTATCTGCTGCATCAGAAAACCTAAATTTTTGAGTCATTTCATTATCATGCCAGAAGCCTTTGTTTTCAGTCCAAACAGTCTGAACAGTTGTCCAAACAGGAAAACTTCGAACTACAAACATGCAAGGTAGAACAGCATTAATAAATCGTGACATTTAACACTGAAATTCTACTTAGCTGTGGTTTTGTTCTTAATTGCTTTTCCCTGGGCACTTATATGCCTGGGAATAATGGTGTGCCATTCCATGCCATTTTGGAAGGAACTAGCTATATGGACTGGGGACAGAATTGATTTTGTAGGACATGGGGGTCCACTCCTCATCCACAAAGCGCCTGATTTTTTTCTGATCAAGAACTGTAGGTGGACACCTAGGAGAATATCTACTGGGAAGGCTGCAGGAAAAAGGCCAGACTCCCCTGAGGGGCTCTGCTGTGAGTAGGTAGCTCCTTCCCCATTGTGGAGGTGGAAGGACTGAGACAACAGTGGGATTCCAGGAACAAGCTACAGCCCAGCTGAGGAACACCTTAGAGCTCCTGAAAAGCCTCCAAAAATGGCAATGATGGAAGAAGTCATGACTTGTGGTTGCACTACTCCCTGAGGTTCCCAGATGAGGCAGGTTCACAGAGCTGATTATGGGTTAAACAACGTCCCTCGTGTTTCCCCTCCCTTCCTGTGTGCCCAGACAGAATGAGTTTTATCTGCTTTACACACAAATATGCCTCACCACAATTATTTAGTATGAATCATTGTGTAGTAAAGAAGCAGCCTTTTAAAGAATCCCTTACAACAAGGACACATTAAGGAGAGATGGCACCTTAAAAATATAATCTCAAATTGTAACCATTTCTCAAGTTTTAATAGGCAGAGAGCTTACTGTTGGTATCACTTTCTCCAAGGTCTCAGGAGCAGCTTTGGAAGAGAGGTTAACATGGTTTATATCAGCATGAAACAGCCCATCACAGAGCTGAATTGTAGTAGTAATAATGACAATAAAGTCATAGTGAAAATATTAAAATCACAACCACAGGTTTGCAGGCAAAGTTCATGACCTGTAAAAAGTGTCAATGTATTCTGTACCCTTGCCCAAAGAATTCAAAACAGGAATATCACTAGCAGAAGACTAAATACAACTCTAAGAGAGTTACTACTTTTTTACCACAAATTCAAACAGGAAATCATATATTGGTTATCTCAAACAACCACATCTACAGTCAGCCTCTGGAAAGCAAGAAAGCACCCACTGCTAGAAGTATAGTTCCTTGAGAAACATCCTTAGAGATAAATATATTTCTTGAGTCAAGCTATTTAAGACTGGAGAAGAGAATGTGTGCAGACTCATTACCCTGTGTTTTGCAAGCCTTCTGACACTAAACACAACCTCATATAATCACAGTTTATGTCTGGGTTTTGAGGACAAGAAAACGATGTATTGAGATAGTAATCAACAACTGCCAGTAATTCCTTTGTGATCTAATATACTTGTATTTTATAAAAACATTTCTTGCATGTCATATCCTGAGGGATTTTTTTGTGTTGGTTGTTAAATTGTATTATCCTCAGTCAGAAATCAAGCATGATTTAGCAGTTTCCCATTCTCAAGAGGCCAAAGGAGACTATACCACAGCACCATCCTGCATGTACATACTGAAGAAAAACCCTCCACATTACATGCTGCACATGAAAATAAACCCTGGCTTTCGAACTTAAGAGATGGAAGCTATCTAGACTAATAAACAGTTCCAGTCTGACCCAAAATCCAGTGACATTTAGAGAAAAACTCTCAACTCTCTGGACTGTTACACACTTAATAGCAAATCACACTATAAGCCAAATGGTAACATTGCTGGGTGCATTGGACAACTTTGGTGCAAAAACATGGAAAATGTTTCTAATTTCTGTCCAAGGTGAAAGTTTTTTTAAATGCTACAGACAGGGCAAAAATTTCCTCCAGAAGCGGGTGAAAGTACAGGGAGCAGGTATGACAGCCAACAGCCTGAAGGAAAGTCCCCATGGTTCAAATTCCCCTGGGGTGCTGTGACAGATCACATGGGGTCAGCAAAATGCATTGAGGTTAAGTGTTGCCTGCTCATCTCCTCCCTTGACCTCCCACCAGTGTGTAACATCTATCCCTGAACCCAGGGACACTCTCTGTGGTCCCATTTTCTCCAAGATGGGGCCTTATTCCAAGAAGCAAGGACACCTGTCCCTGCACTGGGAAGCTTCAACTCCTTGCAGCTCCCCTGGGCTTCACCACAGCTTATAGAAGCAATGTCCTTTTTCTCTTCCCACAGCATGACACATGAACCATTTCACCCATCCTTCCCATTTCCACTGGGGCTTGATTTTATTCTTTTTAATAATTTGCACAAGTGCAGCATCAGAGCGCTGCTCTTTGAGAGCAAAAATGTACAGCTGGAATAATGGAGAGGCGTCTGCCAGATCACAGGTCTCTTCAAATCTGCTTCTGTCATGTTCACTTTCTGGACAGACAGCCAGTCAACGACAGTGAAAAGAGAAGAACAAAAAAAGCAATCATAAAATCCAGGCTCTGAAGACACACTGTTGTCCACAGTGTTCTTACAGGTCAGCTTTGCCTCTCATCCACAACAGGTCAGCTTTGCCTCTCATCCACAACTGCTTTGCAAAAATCAAAGTAGAAGTGCTGGAAAACACAATGTGACTCAGCACAACCACTATCAAAAGAACCTAGTTTCAGCATATTTCAGTCATATTTTAAATTCCACATTTTTATAAGTGTCAGCAGATTTTTTTAGATCTACTCCACATAAGTCTTAGCTGGCTTGGGCCTAGCAAGTATATACTGGCAATAATACAGTAGGCATTTTTCCTGACATTTTCCTCCATCTTATATAGTGCTTACACTATAAGGACATCTTTTATACATTTTGTACATCTATCTTAATATAGTATCTATAAAAAGAAACTCAAGCATTTGCAGCCAAAAAAAGAGAAAACTGTAAGTTCCCTTTAGACCTATTTTAAGCCTGTGCAAAATAAGAGGGTCTCTTATGCATTAAAAGGGTGCCAATCATTGAAGTATCTAGGTTCAAAGTACTGTATATTCCAGGCTGGAACGATTCAGCATCTGTTGCTGCCTTCAGGCAATGAACTTTGATAATTTAAGAATCTTGAAATAAAGAAAACTAATTCACTATCTGGATTTTAATAGCTTTTGGTGACAGACTTCTATTTTGTGACCTAATGATCATGATGAGAGATTGGTCGGGCAAGTAAAAATCCACTTCCTAACTTCTGTCTGTAAATGGCACTTTATTTACAGTCAAGTAAACAGACTCCATGGAACAAAGGAAGCTAGATACGAGCCTAAAGCTTCTGAAAGCCCCTCTGCAGACTTCAAAAGCACCAGTTCCTTTCCACTGAGAAAGTTGCTTGGGCAGTTCATTTTAAAGGCAACACCTTCACTAAGTAGAGTAGTCCCAACACCTAGCTTCAGAAAGGAAACGCAAGAAAAGAAATCCTAAAGAGATAAAAGAAACTGTAAGCTTTCTAATAAACTCCAGGATCTCTCTGCATGGTATTTTTTTTTTTCCCCTGGGAATTCCCATATTTAAGCAACTGCATTATTGATGTGTGAGCCATGGGAGCTGCTGTGTAGTTATACATCTGGTTTTATAATTTAACACCAGGATTTTTTTTCCTCCTAGTAGGATGAAAAATAATGCATGTTATGACTGGGCACCTTTAAGCCTCAACGTGTGGGAATACCTTTGTAACTATAAATGACATATCTAATGATAGCTCTAATGCCTTCTGCTTTGTTCTGTTTGCACTACAAGCTGAAGCAAGTTTTAATGAAGTAAAAGCTCATATTAGGTACACCCAATTCATAATTGTTTTGATTTTGTAAGCAAAGTTAACAGCTTAAAGTGATCAAGCAAAAAATGTCTGTTTGATAATCAATCGTTTGATGTTAAGATTATAATAGCTGTTTTATTGAAACCTCTTATTCAGATTAACA